CATGTAGGAGATGCTGCTGCTAAGGAATAAACACATCCCCCGTATCACTTTACAGCAGAACTGCAGTAGGGATGAATATGCTCTAAAAAGCTTTGATTGGGAAGAAAGCAACAACCATAATTTTTGCCTCTTGCAAAATATGTTAATGAACCTGAAGTCCCTGGGCCCCTGATGTTATTATACAGCTCTCAAATCAAGCTGCTTTACAAGTCATGCACCAGTCTGATGTTGTTTGAAGCTTGTGCACAAAATAAGATCAGAACTAAAAAAATTGTAGGACCGTGAGCACCTGTTGACTGCAGGGCTGGTTTAAGTTTGTGGGATCTGAGAGCGAGAGGAGCATCTGGCAGCTTTTCTGCTTCATTCAAGCATCAGCTACGGTATTGTCTCAACACACTTCCTCAGCTGGCGCTGATGAAGCTGTTTGAGCACTCATCTGGCGGGTGCAACATTGATAGCATCTATTGAGGGCCACCAAGGCAAACTATTGCCTGGTGCATCACACAGCTAAACTCCTCCAGGCAGGGTAGGGGCTGACAGGGACACAGCTGGGGCTAACAAGGCACATGGCCTCGCTATTCTTCCCCAAAGTGACATCTCCCTCCCGACAGCTGACCATCCCTCTGGCCCAGCCCAGCCATGCAGGTTTTGTGCCCCAGGCAGGATTATCACCTTCTCTTTGGGACTGCCAGTCACCAGGTGGGAAAAGCAGCATGTCAAGTGGAGATGGGAGATAAAAGCTTTATTTTGCTAACCCTGGAAATTGTCACTAAACACAAAAAAATTGGTCCCATCACTTTTGCTCTGCAAAACCCTTTGACATCCACAAGTTCCTGCAGGTTAATAAAAGAAATGGTGGAATTACTACTTGTGAGTTCAGCTCAAACCTACACTCCAAGAGTTAACGGGAGTCAAGAAATACACTGTATTCTCATAAGACACACATTGTGATTTTAAACAAACATGAATGTAGTTGAGTGTATCAGAAGGGAAGAAGGGGGCTGGGGTGGTTCCTTATTCAACTTATATCTGGAATATGTCACAGATACAAATGAATACAGAAAGAAGAAAGACAAAACAAGATAAACAAGACTGTTATCTAAACAATCCAAGATAGCTGAGAATGTATTTTTGTGTTAGTCCACATTGTAGCAGCATTTCTGGCATGCTGAACTTACTCCAACACAAGCACAAAGAGAAGGCCAGGTAAAGCAAAGCACGGCAAGCACCAGTTTCACTGTAAGGGCTGTAGGGAGTGTCACACCTCATGTAGGAGGCTGCTTTCACATTATAGCCATGAAGGATGTAAAGAGAAAAAGGGCATGTGTTGTGACTAAAACATCGGTTTCTGCTGGCATGTTTATTTAATTACAACAGCCTAAATTAAAGTTTGGCTGAGACAAAGCAAGAACGTGTTTAATTGCTAAAATTTGGGCCCTCTTTCTCAAGATCATTCACTCTTTAGAGGGCTCTATACCACAAAGAGCTTCTTTTCAAGTTTCCCAAGGATTTGCACAGTGCATGACACTTCTCCACATGCTGGACACTTCAAAGTAATCTTGAAAAGCAGTCACTTGTGTGGGCAGTATTTTGCTGCTAACAGGACTGACTAGCAACAACTAAAACTTTACCTACCACACTAGCAGTTATCAATGACCTCCTGGCTCTACAGAGTGAGGCACCACAACAAAATTTCTTTCTTCAACATCAATAGATAAGTGACACCTCTTAAATGTTGCTATAGCATTATAGTCTTCCCCCACAGGTAGCAGAAATTATGTTACACAAAAAATACTTGAAACTGAAATAAATCACTGATGAAACTTCACAGAGGTAGTAGAAGAGAGACTTCTCAATGTAAACACTTCTCCTCGGCCACTTCACCTACAAGCTTAGCTTTAGCAGCTAGTTAGCAATTGCTGGAAACAAAGTATCATCTAGAATAATGACAGTCTGGAAATACGTAAGATGGAAACTTGATATCAGGTTGAAATCTGGCTTGTGGTATATGAAGTCCGAGAAGTTGGCAGCAACAAGAGTTTGCTCTGCAAAGGCTTCCATGGAGCATTCTGGGAGACTTTCTAGCACTTAGTAAGTAGAAATAAAAACAAATAATTGTGTTTGTTTCAGTTTTTTTTTTCATTCTGGGAACCCTTTATTCTCCAGTAATCTTTAGCACTAGGTCTATGTGTGTGTGCATATATGCATGAATGTATGTATGTATGTATATAAATATATATATTCTACAACCTGTATTAGACATAAAAGTTACAGTAAAGACCTTATTATGTAAAAATTAAATTTCCCTGAAACAGACTTTATTATGTGCACTTACTGCTGCACTCCAGCTGCAGGGAGGGATAAGGAGGAGTGAAAACTACAAAATTTGGCACATGGCCATGATCAGATAATTAACAGTTTCTTATGGGATTTATCTAATCATTTGTCTATTTACAATTGACAGCATCCCTGTTATCCCTTAGTCCCCTCTGGAGAAACGCAGCTCATGTCAATGTGAAAATCATGCAGAACAAACCCACAAGTAAACAACTCAGGCAGTGCTGCGGTTTTAATCTGCAGAAGTTTTTTATAGGTTTTCCTAGGAAAGGAAAATGAGGTTTGAGAATTCTCCTGATAATTTTTGTACCTCTCCAACCATTTTGAGAGTAGCAAAACTATTAAAACCTCCTGCACCCAAGGGGCCAAGGAGAGCAGACAATGTATGTATTTCCCTCAGAACAGGCAGTAGTCTGAGTTCACAGCTTTCCAGGTACTAGGATATGTCCACTGGAAGAAAGTAGTCTGTATTATCCTACTGATCTCAGAAAAAATTTTAGCCTGAAAAAGTCATAGCCCAAATCAAAAAAAGGTTGGGACACAATTGCTATAGATGAAGACATCAAGGTGAAAGACCTGAAGACACTGTTGCACAGGGTGAAAAATTTGAAATTATGCAGAATAAAGTTCTTTACCCAGGACTTGCCAATGTCAGCCAGGTCCCATGATCACAGAGTCCCCCAGGTGGGACATTTTAACAGTGGTCAGTCCTACACAATTCAGAAAAACTCATTTTTTCAGTTTCCTGTAGTTAAAAATCACTTTAAATATAAAACAAGAGGGCTTAACACATATTTTGTAATGGGTTAAAGTATTACACTTGTGCAAATCCTGTAATTCAAAGAGATGTTCCTAGACCCCATGACTTCTAATAGTGCCAGTTACCTACTCCTAAAGAAATTCCTATTATCAATTCCAGTTTCATTACATCTCCTCTTGCTTCTGGGCTGTCAAGTAAAACAGAAGCTTAAGATAAAGGTTCTCTGTGCTGCTCATCTTTTTATAGACTATTACATTTCCCTACCACACTCCAGAGTTTCTCATCCAGTGAGTGCTATAAAAGCTCTGCTATGAGCCAATAATTTTTATTGGTCTAGTTCTCTATTATCCTTTTCTAGATGACCAGCAGTGCCCACAGTATTTCAGGTACACTCACTGACCTGTGTAACAGCTACAGATCTATAAAACATTATCAGATTTTCTTCATTATTCTCTGTTCAGTTCCGTCTGAAATCTAACATAATTTTTGCCTGCAGATTTTCATTGCTCCTTTTTTCATGATGCTCATGAGTTAATGCAATGCACTTAAATAGAAAAATTCATACCCAGTCCTTCTTCCCTCCAAGTGTTTCAGATTTTGACTATTAAGATTCATTTCCCATCCTCTGTCTTCATTTTTCACTCATTTCTCAGAAGTTAAGTTTATGATTAAGTTCTGTCTGGTCTTTACTGAGCTTGACTTAGGCTAGAAAAACTTAATGTCATCTGAAGATTTTGCTGTATCATTGCTCGTTTCTTTTTCCAGTTCACTAAGCAGCACCAGACCCAGCAAAGAACCTTGCAGCACCCCTGCTGTTACCCTTTTGCTATGCTGAACATCGTTTCTTGTCCCTTAGCCAAAACCCCTTAACAAGCCTAGTCTGCATCTTTACCACCCTTCTATCCCAAGGTTATACACCAAACTCCAGTCCTTCAAGTAAAACTCATGTGGCTTTCCACGGTTATTTTGCTTGACAACAGGGTGTTTCCAAAATCAGGGAACAAAGATTGTTCTCACCAGAGGCAGTCAAATGGTACAGTGGCTGTGGTTACGAGATTATCTCAGTTTATCTTATTTATAGATCTTTATGGACGTAGCTTCTTTGCTGTGCCAAAAGATCAGAGTATAAATACAGTCCCACTAAAGGTTCCCATAGGTCAACCCAGCTCAGAGCATGCCTGAATTGAACTTTTCTGCTTCTCCAAGCATGGATGCATACAGATGTATTTTTCTACCTGTACAAGGATGCAATGACACTTTTTTATTGCTGCTCTTGTTATTCTATTAGCACTTCACGGCGAATGGGTTCACTTTCCAGTGATAAAGTAACACAATAAACAAAGCGCACAGTGCTGCCATCCTTTTCACATCAAGTGAGGGAACCGGTTTCTTTGGCTTTTCTTAAAGGGTCATACTAAGGAAAACAGTTCCTGGAAAGCAAAGTCCTGCTAACCAGTAGAGTGTTTGCGGTGCTTTGGAAAGAGTCGGGGTTTGCTGAGCTGCCACCACGTCAACCAAACGTAACATTGCCGCGGTACATGTTGCACCGGACTGACGTTCATCCAGCCCCCACAAATCGAGCTATGCAGGGATGCAGGAAGCCGAGATCATACGTTTAAATCCCTTATCTGCCCTTAAGCCGTGCCGCGGTCCCGCTTCTCGGGGGCACGGGGGGGAGGGGGAGGTGAGAAGCCCAGCTGGCTCTCCCTGCCACTATCTTTCTCCTGCAGGTGAAATTAGGCATTTGGCCCGGCGGGTGCGGGGGGGTCCCACAGGAGGTGACTCCAGGAAGCGTTAATCCACCCGCCACCCCCAGCGCGGTCCCTGCATTCCCGAGAAAGGGGGGGCCGCGCCTCTACCGCCCCCTTCCCTTCCCCACGGCGGGTCCGCGGGCGATGCTCACCTTGAGGTACTCGTTCTCCGAGCGCAGCTCCTCCACCTCCCGCTGCAACTCCTCCGGGGCCGCCGGCGGCGGCTCCCCGAGGCTCGGGGTTCGCCCCCCGCCCGGTGCCGCAGGCAGCACATCCCCGCGGGAGCCGGGGGCCGGCGGAGCTCCGCGCCCGAGGCCGGGGCCGGCGCGGGGCGGCTCGGCGGTGGGATGCGCGGCGGGATGAGCGGCGGGATGCGCTGCGGGCGGCTCCCGCTCGCGATCGCTGGAGCCTGTGCCGGACTCGGCGTCGCTGCTGGCGGCCGGGGCCAGGCGCTGCTCGTCGGAGAGCGGCTCGGAGGGGCAGTCGGAGAGATCGGAGCTGCTGTCCGTGTGGCCGACGCGGGCCAGCGCCGCCGCCACCGCATGGCCGCTGCCCGCCGCGGCGCCCCGCTTCGCCTTCCTGCCCTTGCCGGGCGGCGGGGCCGCCTCGCCGCCGGGCTGCCGTCCCGCGCCCCGGCCGCCGGGGCCGGGCTCCGGACCGCGGGCCGCCCGCTTGGCGCAGGGGACGGCCTTGGCGCCCGCCCTGCCGACGGCGGTGCCGGCGGCGGCCGCCTTGCCCCCTGGGCGGCGGGGCGGCGGGAGAGGCGGCCCGGCGCTGCCAGCAGCCCCCCGGGCGGAGGGTGTGCGCCCGGGTGCGGCGACGGGGGTGCCCGGGCGGGGAGGCCGGGGGACTTGGGGGGCGCGGGCGGCGGCTTGGCGGCGGCGCGGGCGTGCAGGTCCTTGAGGAAGGGTCTGGCGGGCGACGGGGCGCGGTGCGGCCGCTTCTTCTCGGCGTGCGGGTGGTGGTGGCCAGGAGAAGGCGGCGGCGGCGGCCGCAGCGCGTCGCCGGGCCCTGGTCCGGGGCCGTTCAGCGCCTCCATGTCGCGGGCCGGGGGCGGCGGGGCGGCAGCGGCGGCCGCGGGGGCGCCCGGCGGCGGCAGGAGCGGCGGTCCCCGCGGGGCGCAGCGGCAGGACGGGCAGCCTCCTCCAGCCTCCCCGCTCGCTCTCTCATCACTTCTGCTTCTCCCAGCCACAGCCCTCACACTTTTCTTTCTCGATCTCCCTCTTCCTGCCCCCCCACCACCTCCTCCTCCTCCTTCTTCTCCTCCTCCTCTTCGTCGCTCTCTCCCGAGCACTGATTTGTTTCAATAAATCGAGCCCAAATCCCCCGGTGGCAGCCGTCTCCTCCTCCCTCTCCTTCCCCTCCCGCTCCCCTCTCCGCCCGGCTCAGCTTGATGCTGCTCAAGTTGTGATGCAGCCCAAAACACAGATCCTTTTCCCTTCCCTCCGAGGCAAAGGCGTGTTTTGCCGGCTACCTCCGCCTCCACTTGCAAGCCCCCCGCTCAGCCCACCGGCGCCGCTAACCCCATCGCTGCCCGCTGCCCCAGCCCTGGCTCCAGCTCCAGCCGCCGCCTCCGCCCGGCTCCTGAAATAGCCCCGCGGCTGCCGGGGCCGCTCCGGCGCGGCTCTGCCCGCCTGTGCGCAGGATCCGCCCCCTCTGTCAGCCAGCCAGGCTGCTCTCCTCCCGCCCGGCAAACTACTTTCCTCGCACGCTTTATTATAGGGGCGCCTCTGCCCGCCGCTTCCTATCAGAGAGCCTCATCTGGGAAGAAATTTTAATTTCCCAACCATGAACTGCATAGTGTTGCCCGTTTATTATATTTTTTCCCCGAGCTAAGACTTCATGAAAACGCTCTCTCCAGGGACTGGCAGCAACAAAACAACATCCACTGCATTATCTCTCTGCTCAAGGCAGAGCAGACACAGGTTCACCGAGAGGCAGAGCTGCGTATCCGACGGCATCAGCAAGTTCCTGGCTGTGGCTAAACTACAAAAGGCACGAACCTGTCCTTTTGGAGCACGGGGATATAAAATTACAGCCCTTACACTTGCAAAGCACCTGGAGAGTAAATGAAAGGGAGGAGAGGCTCAGGTGTGGGAAAGAAGTACAGCCTAATGGGGAGAGCAGAGCAGCTCTGGTCGGGATGTTTCCGATTCCTCCGCTCGGGCGCAGCGGGACCTTGGAGAAGCCGCGGTGGCTGCCTTATCTGTCAGACGAAGACGGTGAATGTGTGCTTAGCTCCTGAAGTCCTTGGGAGGCTCAGATCACCCACGTCTGAATGGCAGGGACTGCAGCGTGCTCTGGGGAGGACAGTCCCGGGGGGTTTGTGAGGGCAGCAACCTAAAGCGCTCCAGGCCCCCCGTTCCGCCCAGCCAGGCTCAAGGCATTACGCCGAAAGGCAAAAGCCCCAGGGGCTGCTGGAGCTTGAGGGCACCGGGCACCACGGGGCGGATGGCCAAGGCGAGACCACGCGGCTGATGCTGGCAGTGCCGGGCCGGGGCCGGGGCCAGGCCACGTTGTCCGGGGAAGGAGCGGGATCGCTCGGGCATCCCTGGTCTCCTTCTCCCGGTAAACGATTCCTACTGACTGAGCAGCACCGGCACTGCCGTATGAGTATGCAACAGGTAGTCCTTACTTTGTAAAGGCTGCAGAGGTGAAAAAAACCCCACAAAACATTTAAATCAGATCTGTATTTACAGGTCTCCAGGAACTGGGAGCAACTCGACGGCACCGCCCCGGGCAGCCGGCGTGGGCAGCGCCAGCCGGGACAGCGCGGTGATGAGCGGCCTGCCGGCGGGGCGGGACTCCAGGGCGGCTCCAGACCCCGGGAGAAAGGCAGGGCTTGGGGCGGCAGCAGAGAGGGGGAGGGGGCCAGGGTCCCTCCCTGTCCCCGGCGGCGGGACAGGTCTCGGCTGGGCGGTGTGGTCCTTCCGCGAGTGGGCAGGCGATGAAATCCCTGCTCCAGGGCAGCCAGCGGGCGATGTGATGCTGTTGTTGGGTGGATTTTTTTAATCTCTTGACAAGTTTAGCTTCTCTTAGTGCTCACACTTTCCAGTCGTTGGCATCGTTGCCGGATAGCTCGGTTCCCACATGCAGATGTGCCTTCCAGGTCACACGGCAAAGTACCTTTTGTGGTAAAGATTGCACTTGCTGTTGCCGATATGTACATCCACTAGAGCTACCGGGAGGATTTAGTTGGGTCAAGCCCATTAAAAATTATAGAAAATACTCTGAGGAGAGGAAAACACAACAAACCCGCTCACAGATGTAAGCCCCCTCATTCTCTCTCCGTGGGCAGCATCAGTAATTTACTTGATTGGGTGAGATAACCAGTGTGTAGAAGCAATATGAAGTGACTGAGCTGATTTAGAAGAATGGCTTATGAAATACATACTACAGTTACATTTTAATGACATAGCATTTGTGTCAGGCCATCACACATTATCAGTGTTTCCTAACCAGCTGTTGTGCTCCTAGTTGCGTTTTTTTGTTTGCTTGTTTGTTTGGGGGAGGGAGGGAGTTGTTGTTTTGGGTTTTTTTGGCAATACACTGCTGGTCAGTTCAAGTAATTCTCCTTCACAAGAATGCTAGAGAGTGAAAGAGATGGCAAGTGCCATAGTGAGAAATAGTAATTATTATGGAAACACTATTATGGAAGTTGTCCTACATGAGAGGTATCAGAAAGGTTGTTTTGTGCTACTATATCCGCACTCTCACTTGCTTTTGGCTATAAATTCCAAGAGTATATGGGAATTCTAGCTTCACCTACTAGATTTTCAATGTGTTTATGTCTGTGATGAAAGGGGAACCGCTCTGTGATAATTTATGAGTACCCTGTTTTGACTTTGCCCCATGAACAGAACGGTTCAATTCAAAAGGAAAATGAAAGGAAAAGTATGGCTCAAGATAAGCCACTTTTCTACAAACAATAGCTGAGGGACAGTGCCAGGCTTCTTTGCACTGGAGGGGAAAAGAATTAGGAAAGTGAAAAAAGGAGCACATTCACAAAAGGCTGAGAATTGTCTTGGAGAATTAATCTGAGACACTTGAGTGCCTGACAGAGCCCAGTTTCCTGTGGTTACCTTGTAAATTTTACATTACAAATACATGAATAAATGTATTTTAAAAATCTTATTTATCTTTTTTCCCCCCACTAAATACTTTGTTTCAACTGCTAAATGCTTTATGTTTATGATGTCTGTGTTATATCACTGTCCATCACAGACCACAACATCCTGCAGGCAAAGAGGACCAAAACTCATCCTGACTTCTGAGGAGGTGCCCTTGATAAATAGAGACTCAGAATAATTAAAGGCCCATGACATGGCAAGGTAACCTCAGATCAGAAAGGAGACTGGACAGTAGATACCTGTGTAAACATGTACTTTTGTGTTCTGTTCATCTTCCTCTCATTGAAACATACAGTAATGTTCGCTGTCCCAGGCAGCTCCAGTTCAACCACGTGTCTTAATAAAGTGATTTATTTACATTAATGCACAAACAAAAGAGGGCTGTGGCACTGAAAACATGCTGCAGCAGAACATGTTAGATGGAGGCAAATGCTCAGTCACACCAAGATCCCTTTATGTTGTGTTGGCAGTACAAAGCATCTAATAACAAAGAAATGCAGCCCCTGTAACCCTCCCCGGGCACGTGCACGGCTGGGTGCAGATGGCAGATTTGTGTGGTATGAGGCCAGCTGTAGTATTTTGGCTGTGTTCCTCTGTCCTCTGCTGTCTGAGCGATGCCATTTGGAGATCCCTCCAAGAGTGGTGTAAATAGGCATGGCGTGAATGAGAATAAGACCCTAATATGAAAGCTAAGTACATACCACAGAAATCTCCACTGGGTTAGGCAAATGCCCAGTAAGGATTACTGTTATCATATTACTTATTTATTTATATCAAACCATTTTTTCCTCTACTTAAAACTTGCTAATGGTTCTCATAGGAACATGCAGGCACAGGCTATCATGACCACCCTAATTCTCCTCTCTCTTTCTTTTTATTTGCTTGTAATGTCCAATTGTTTTCTCTTATCGTAAATTAGTCATACACTCCCTCGTGGTGGAGCAGTTTCTTATATGCTTGTGTAGTTCTTAACATAATAGGACATCTGGGTGTTGGTTGAATAATACAAATAATCAGACATAACACTTTTATGATCCATTTATTTTGGCAATGCTGATATCCTTTGTCTGATTAATGCTGACATTTGATAACTGAGTTGTATTTGCACAAATAATTATGAAAAGTAGATGCTAAGCCTGACTACTTAGATGAGCTATCGCACATCTTACAAAGCATAGGACACCGTTTTTGGCAGTGCAGGACTGTCTAAATTCTTTTCTAGGGCTGAGGCACGAGAGAGTTTACAATTGCTTAGAGAAGATGTGAAGAGGCTCAATCTAAATGTAAATTTGTCCCTCAGCCAGCCCAGCTTACAGTAGCCTAAGCTGTTATTTTCTCCGATTTCAAATCCCTATTTGAGATCTCCTTCAATGACACCATAAAAGCAGCCACCTTATAATGGCCAGGCTCGGAGTTATAAGGGAGCACTGATGTTTACGGAGCTAAATCAAAATAGTAAATGAAGACACAAATGCATCCATGCAGGCCATATGTATGGATAAGCCAGCATCAGTCTGGTTGAGTCTATCATTATTGCCCCTTTATATGTTGCAGATCATGAGCTGTAATTTCTTTGTGGCCACGTTGTGCTCTGTGATTATACCATCCCAGAGGAATCCTAATCAGGGCCAGCAGGTGTTACGGTGACACGTTAACAACAGCAACGAGGCATAGCTTCAACAGAAAAAATGTGTGACATCTTCAAGCTCACAAATCCCTTTTTTTTTTTTTTTTTGCAATCTCTCTGTCAACTGCTATCTCTCCCTGGGGAATTCAAAGCCCCAAAGACCTTTTTTAAAGCTTTATTCCTGGTCCCAGGAGTTATACCTAGATTGTCACTGCTTGCTCCTTATTTGTACAAAACCTGGTTATTAAAGGTCTCAGTTCTTTACTGGAGCTTCTGTCCTACAGTAACAATATTCCTAATTGCCATAATTCAATCAGGGAATGGAAATAATTACATGACTAGGTCATATAAGGGACTTAAGTAGTAGAAGAGTGTCAGGAGACTTAAGGCACATTAATCCAAAACTGTCATCCCCCAAACCCCATCACCCAAACCCACAGACTCATAACTCTGTTGGTAATCTTAATTTTGGCCACAAAATCTGCTCATCCTGGATGAGCAGAGCTTTTTCCTTGTATGTGTCCATACCTGCTCACTCAGAGACAGCAATGGAGCCCCTAGGTATCATGAGGTCACCACTAATGCTTTCTGTAGGGATTTCTGGTAGGGATTGGAGTCCATACAAAACACAGCTTTGATGAGAGAACAGCAGGACCTCACCTCTTGCAGAGGGCCTGGTGGCCATGTGGCAGGGCAGCAAGTGGGAAGTATGGCTTTGAAGCCTTCCTCGGACTGCAGGAATTAAAGACCAAACCCCCAGATACCAAGGGGCTGTTGGGGCTCACTGACTGCTATCAGTAATTCCTGCTGGTGCTAAGCCTTTGTGTCTTTGCGTGTGAAACCTCCTGGGATCAGGCTCAGGCTGGGAAGCAAACACGGCTCTTGCACCCTTGCTTGGGGGGGAGAGCTTGGGTGTTCCTGTGCAAGCAGAAGGTGTTCCCATAGGTGAGGCCATCCTTCCCTTCTCCAGCACAGAACTACCCACTCTCCCAATTCCTCCAGCCCTTCCCAGGCTGAAATCTACAACCCTGTTACAGGTGGGTGTTTCCAGGTGTGTACAATTCCTCTTTCATGTCCAATGGGAAAAAAAACCCTCAAAAATTAATATATCATGCCATCATACTAAGGGGCATCTGTGAACCTCAAATACTAGGAGCACATACCTTGCCAAAAGTGTTACTGCCTATTTTAGAATGTAACAAAGGAAACATGCAGTTTCCAATATTAATAAATTTGTACTTTTCCTTCTCACAAACCACCTGCCATGTAAATAAACAGCCACATGCACACTTTAAAATTTATCATCTGCTCCACACTGTCAGGCACAAGTACTTAGGATCTGCTAGCACAGCACTGCGTGCCACTCATCTTCCAGGGATCATTTATTGCCTTTCCACAAGTCTCTCTTTTAGAAAGTAGAATCAATACAGCTTCTTTTGTTCCTGGTTAACCCCTAAATGCTGCAGGTGCAGTTCAATCCAGGTGTTTTTTTGGGGGGGGAGGTGGTAGCTATGCTCAGTCAATACCTTGAAAGTCATAAAACATTTCACTGTTTTGAACTCCTGGATGTCTGATGACATGCAAAAGGAAGAGACTAAATAATTCGAGAATCACAGAATTTTAGAATCAATCGGGTTGGAAAAGACCTCTGAGATCATCAAGTCCAACTCTTGATCCAACACCACCATGGTTACTAGATCATGGCACTAAGTGCCACATCCAGTCTCACCTTAAATGGTGAATCCACCACCTCCCTGGGCAGCCCATTCCAATGTCTGATTACTCTCTCTGTAGAAAATTTCTTCCTAGGCACTTGGCCTTGTTGAACCTCATCCTGTTGGAATCAGACTATCTCTCCAGTCTGTCCAGGTCCCTGAAGAGCCCTCCTGCCTTCCAGCAGATCAACACTCCCTCCCAGCTTGGTGTCATCTGCAAATTTGCTCATGGTACACTCAATCCCCTCATCTAGATCATCAGCAAAAATATTAATCAGGACTGGGCCCAGCACTGATCCCTGGGGGACACCACTGGTGACCGGCCGCCAGCACTCTCTGGGCCCGGCCCTCCAGCCAGTTCCTGACACAGCACAGAGTGCCCCTGTCCAAGCTATGGACTGCCAGCTTTTTCAGGACTATGACGTGGGAGACGGTGTCAAAGGCTTTGCTGAAGCCCAGATAGACACATCCACAGCCTTCCCCTCATCCACCAGGCAGGTCACCTGATCGTAAAAGGAGATCAGGTTGGTCAGACAGGACCTGCCCTTCCTAAACCCGTGCTGGCTGGCTCTGATCCCTTGTCCATCCTGTAGGTGCTGTGTGATTGCACTCAGGATGATCTGCTCCATAACCTTGCCAGGCACTGAGGTCAGGCTGACAGGCCTGTAGTTTCCTGGGTCCTCCTTGCAGCCCTTTTTGTGGATGGGTGTGACATTCGCCAACTTCCAATCATCTGGGACCTCCCCAGTGAGCCAGGACTGTTGATAAATGATGGAGAGTGGCTTGGCAAGCTCTTCTGCCAGCTCCCTCATCACCCTAGGATGGATCCCATCTGTCCCATAGACTTGTGGGGATCCAAGTGGCTCAGCAGGTTACTCACTGTTTCCTCCTGGATTAGAGACGGTCTATTCAGCTTCCTGTCTCTGTCTTCCAGTTCCAGAGGCCAGTTGTCCTGAGGACAGCCTGTCTCACTGTTGAAAACTGAGGCAAAGAAGGTGTTAAGTACCTCAGCCTTTTCCTCATCTTTGGTGACTATGTTACCCTCCATGTCCAACAAATAATGGAGGTTTTCCTTGCCCCTCCTTTTGCTACTTGTAGAAGCACTTCTTGTTATCCCTAACAGAAGTGGCTAAACTGAGTTCAGATTGTGCCTTTGTCTCTCTAATTTTCTTTCTACATGACCTAACTATATTCCTAAACTCTTCATGAGTAGCCAGCCCTTTTTTCCATAGTCAGTAAGCTCTCTTTTTTCCCTGTAGTTCCTTTAAAATCTCCCTGTTCAGCCAGGCTGGCCATCTTCCCTGCCGGCTCACCTTTCAGCACACTGGGACAGCCTTCTCTTGTGCATTCAAGACTTGCTTCTTGAAGCATGTCCATCCCTCCTGGACCCCTTTGTTTTCAAGGGCTGTTTCCCAAGGTACCCTCTGAACCAGTCTTCTGAGTGGGCTGAAACCTGCCCTCTGGAAGTCCAGGGTAGAAGTTTTATTGCTGGCTCTATCTGCATCCCTGAGTATGAGAATCACTGAGAACCAAAGGCTGGCTTTAATCACAGGCACCAAAAGAGGAACAGCTCATTTTGGGTCTTTCTTCATAGGCAGTGGGGAGCTGGCACAGAAAGATAGCACTGATTTATCAGGTATTCAGTGAAGAAAAAGAAAGATGGGTCATGTAATTGTTTTTTACTGAAGATGGATGCTTTTCACAATTTCTGATTATTGAAATTGATATGCATTACTGGATATATTGTTTGCAAAATATAGTTTGATAAAATATCAACATCAGAAATATTTAACAGAATAATGAAACATTGTAAAAGCTGAAGAGACAGACTAATAAGATGATTGTTTGTTGGCAGTGTGATTAGCTTGGATATTCTGCAAGGGAGGTGTCACCTTACACTGAGCAAAACGTCAGTCAGAATATTATAAATTATCCATTTCTAATGGTACAGTTGGCTGAAGAAAGCTGCAAAAAAATCATATTCTGCACACACACACATACCTCTGATAACTAACCAATATCCCAATATAGCAAACATTCAGTAGGATTAACTTGCTAGATATATCTGTGCCAAATTTAGCAATTAGAGTCAGTATTTTTCCACAGTGTTCCATTCCCACTGTATTATTTCCTCCTACCCTTAGCACCTCTTCACACTATTTCTTTTCTGACCATGACTAAGGAAGCTGTTACCAGCAGAAACTAAATCCCAAATTTTTTTCATTCCCACTTCATTTCCTCCTAAGATGCCATGGGCAGACATGCCATAATCTTTATTTTATCTCTTTATAGTAATTTCAATTAATCTACCTCCAATTGATCCTAAACCTTTAGGACCTCTGACTTAAGAGCCAGTTCCCTTCAAAGCTGTTTTTTTATTTAAGTCTGGTTTTTGAGACAGCTGCTCCCTAGTTTTTTTCTTGCTTCTGAAAATCCCGAACAATTCCTTCTTACAAATAGTCTGACTGTGATGGTTTAGGAGCTGCTTTGTCCTCCATGCATCTGCTTTTCTGTTAGGAAAGCTGATTATTGAAGTCTGCTTCACACTTCCTATGTTTCCACATGGAATTTCCTCTCCAATTCTCCCATCTGAATTTGGGGCACAGCACTGCATCCCCATCTGACACTCTGGCTCTTGATTATGCAGCACCTTTGAGGCAAGCACATAGTTACTTCCTGTAGTTTAGACTCACCTGAGAAGGCTTCACAATAAGCTGAGAAAGCAATGGAACATGCAAACTCTCACTCATCAGTGCTTAAGTACCAAAAAATAAAGGCCCAGAAGAAGAAGAACCAATGAGCAGGAATGTGTTAACCTGGCATAAAGAGAAGCATAAGCAAGTAAGATTGATTTTCATACATCAGAGGGATGTTTGAAAAATGGACCACTGATTGTGGAGAAAGACCTACAATCTCAGCGCAACCTAAGTCCCCAAAAACACTACTAGGGGTATGTTCAGGGTTCTATGCTCTTTCAGTAAATAAGTCATCAACTTTAATTTTTGAATTTAAATAAACATGCTAGCACTTCCTATTCAGAAACTGAAGAGGAAGCTTTGTTTACTTTCTTAACTTATCTTGCAGTGTATTACAGTTTGTTTCTCATCAGAAGCAGAATGGATAGTGTTGTTGCCCCACACCTGTAATATGAGGTTCAACAATAAAGATTTTCACTAAAACAGAGAATTAGTATTCACTAAAAAATATTTTCAGATCAGCAGACTACCTGTAGATACACAAGAAGTGTCCTTAGCACTGAATTAGTAGATATTCAAAAAAGGCTCAGTAATTTGACACCCATTGTATCTTTACAACACTTCAGCACTTCTCTTTTCTGAAGCTAGATTGAAGCAGTTCTTTATATTTATTACATTTATTACCAGAAATGCTGGTGTTTCAGAAATAATAAGATACAATCTGATAACTAATTGATTTAGTGCATTTCAGGTTGCAGAGTTGAGCTCAGAACTGTGTTGAAGTGTCTTGCCAGGGCAGGAAAAACAAGGAGGAAGAAAAGTTTTCTAGTAATCTTATCTTGTAAGAAAGCTTGGAGTCTGTTCTCCAGCTTCTGAAGGAAGAAATATCTCTTTGTCAATTTCTTGCCTGGCAGTGGAATTAAAGCTCTAATAATCTTAATTAAAAATTGTGAGGTGACAGCACAGTGCTAGCACTGACCAGTCTTGTGATGTTAAATGTATATGAATGCCTTACCTGTGCAATAATTGGTCCAATATTCACACAAAGATCTTTCAACCTTAAAGACAAGATAAACCAAACCCTCAGTTTATTGTATATGTATCTTGGTCTGGGAGCGATTACAGGTTCACACTGCTGTCTTTTTTACACTGACACTGCAACTTCCCAAATGAATTTGTCCTAACCTTGGTAAGAACAGGCACTTGTTGCAGGGATGCCATGGAATGGGTGTTCCAGGAGTGTTATTGTTGTGGCAGGAGTGAGAACCAGCCCCCTTCACAGCAGGATGCAGGCAATGTTCTTCACATCTGCTGGCAGAGGTGCTCGCCCTGACCACAGTCCCTCAGCCCTGAGTTGTGAGAAGACAGGGCTGGGGTTCAGTTTTCCACTTTTTCTGCTATCTGTGCTGCCACGGGCTTGGCTGTCTTGCAAGGGTTTGTGTCCTCCATCCCCTGGCAGAGCCATATGAATAATCTGGGAGTGCAGGCTGGAGTGTGAGCTGGAGCCCTGCATATGCTGGCTCTGCTGCTTGTTTCCCTGCAGAAGGTTAAATCCACTGACTATGGTGGCACAGCTTGTGACTGCTTGGGTAAGACTAGATTAAGCCCAGAGGGAAAAAAAGAGTAGGAAGATCTCCGCTTCCAAGAGGGGGTGGCAGCACAGAAGTGAAATCACAAACCAGCTCCACTCTGAGTACAGATGATTCAGCATTGGATGTAGCACAGACATTAATTTGAAATAATAAAATGAAGCCATTGAGACTTCCACAGAACAACTAACTTTCTTCTAAATACCAAGAGCTTATGAAATGCACAATAAACCATTTACTTCAAATTTTCTGAAGAGTTTTGCTAAAATCTGACTTTGGAGGTTCTTGACAATTCATCTTGTCATGAGCCAAAAATTTATGGCAAGGTGGCAAGTACGTAGGGATAACTGGTAAAAATGGAAATCTGTCAACTGTTGAACTTGTCAAGGAATATCACAATACAATTGGCAATTTCAACCTGTTTATTTGCAATTTAGAAAATAAAGTGAACATCCTCATTCACCATAGTTGCTCATAGCAAAATACTATTCTGGTGGCTCAAAACTGTGACAGACTCTAGGAAAACCTCAATGAAATTAGGTAATAGATAATCTTGTAGTAAATTAAATTTAGACCCATGCAAGACTGGGGACTAGAGACGAGCAAATAATTCTTTCAAAAATGTATTCCGCATATTTGTTTTTTGCATATGCTTGCAAAATGATGAAGACACACACCCTTTCCAAGTGGATGAAGAATAGTTAGGCGATGGAGAGCAGGGAGGAGTGAGGGGCTGGTGGAGGCTCCATGAGACACCATAGCTGTGTGCAACACCTGTTGGCAGTGCCTCTAACAAATCCACCCCACATAACACAGACCTCTCTCGTACGAGCACGTCCTTCTGCTTCCTGTGTTTAGTGGTGCAGAAGCCATGCACCCCTCTAAGGGTGAGCAGCTTTGCTCTGAGGAGTGGCAATTCATGAGAAACACAGCAGTGCAGTTCCATTTCAACAGCAGTGAGTTTATGTTTATGCCACCTCTCATTTTTAATTCATGGATACATTAATTTTGTATCATTTGCATGATAACTAGAGCCCTTCCTGCACAGAAAGGAACACTAAGGATCCATTATTTTTATCTTTCCCCCCCCCCAGTATTCTGCTGTGCTGTTAGTCAACTTCTCTCCATGAATCAATGTTATTTTTCCCAAAAAACAGGCGTCTGGGATTTATTCTGGCAAAGTGCTGATATTAAAATTGGGACACTTCCCTTTGGCAATAAACAGTGAACAATAGTATAAAGCATTATAGTATGACAGGCATCACTTGAATGAAGAAGGATGCGCACCAGACTCATACTTTTTGCTGTCCGTCAACAGCAATGGATTCAGGTGTGGCAGTGTCTCTGCATGCCATACAACAGTTTGCCTCCTCATTTCTTTTGGACTTTTGTGCTAAAAATCTGTGTTGCCACATTCCAGATATGCTTATCTATTTTTATAACACTCCTATTCTCCACTGAAGACCAAGAAATATCTTTAACATCTACCAAATTGGTACTTGTTGCTAATTATTTTTAAGCCTACCACAATTTGTAAACTCTCTTTAGTTGCTTTAATTTTGGACTCTGTACACCATACTTCTTCCATTCAAGAAAAGGGTTCACTATCTCAGGAGGCAAAGCCATGAACTATTTTAACAGACTCCAGAAAAGATAAAAAAGTTATTAATGAATCCTGTGGTCTAGATGAACAGCTACTGTGCTCATGTGACTACATGAAATACAAAAAGAGGGTAAAAAGGCAGGTTCATTTTCAGCATTTAGAATCTCTTCTTTTACGATGCTTTCCCTTAAGCATGTCCCTGCCTTTGTTTATCTCCATCTCCTTTCTCTTCTCTTTTCTTCTCTTCTAACTCCTGCTCATTTGAAGTATTAAAATGCCCTTTGCCCTTTGGGCCACATTAGTCCTCTCTTCAAATTCTTCTTGCCTGCAGCATAATTTTTAAGGTCTTATCCTCCCAGCTTCGTGGGGTTACCCATGCTTCCTGCTTCTTTCCAAGCATAAAATATAATCAGGGTAAGAGAGATGCCGTAGGCCTGCAGAGTTTGAAAACATTATGTTTAAGTCTGGCAGTAGGTCAAGGCAGAGATGCAGATGCAAAGCTGCATTTTGGTATATATTTTATATATCTATAAATAAAGATTTGTAGTAGAGGTGAGCTGTGCAAATTACCTTGTGTGACATGACGGAAAATCTCTTTGCCAGGAAATATACCATCAAAAACAGAACAGGGAAGGAGGGGAAAAAGATAACAGGTGCTCAGTGAACTCATTACCTCACTGTGGGATGAAACAGGGTGACCAGGGAAAGCTAATCATGGGTACTTAGCAGTGTTTTCCTACCTTACCTCCTTAAGAGCAAGTAACACCCATTCACATTCACATCTCTTCAAATAAAGTTGCCTTTCATGATGGATACTAAATATGGCTTCAATCTCTCGTGTTTTTTCCTTTTTTTTTTTTTTTTTGTCAAAAATGTCACATTAATGGTTTTTGCCCTTGAAGAATTTTCAAGAATATGTACTGACTAGTTTGATGCAAAATTAGGAATAGACTAGGAATGCTCTCATTTCATATAATATTTGTATCATCATAACAGTCTTGCAACCTCATAGATCAGCCCCAAAGATAGAGGTCAGATTCTTAGTCTGTATCTCAATGGCTAGGTAATGTTCCTCTGAATAGAGGAAAATATAAACTACTGGGGAAAATTCATAGGAAAATATAAGCTGTAAACTCAGTATTCCCAGATGATACGCTTTACTTTTTATTCTTTGGTATCTTGGTGAATTTGCCCCTAAATCTGTGTTGCTACTGCATGTTTTATCTGATAACTGACATTAAATAATGCTAATATTTTGGCTGGGTATCATTGGTCTCAATTAGTATGCATATTTGAAATTTTACATTGTATTAAATGAAGAATATAATCCAATCAAAGCTATCAAATGTAAGGTTAAGAACTGAAATCTGTATTGTTAACTGAAGGCTACCACACACTACAGAGCAAAGTGGTTTAAAGAATACTATACAATACATGATGGATCTAAGCTTTTTAAAGCAGGATATGCAGGATTAGGGCTACATTTAAATCCAAACATGATAAAAGGAAAAAAAATAAATAGGCAAACCAGAACTACTTTACAGCAATGTTACATAAGAACTTACATAGGAAAATAATTCAACCCCGGGTTCTATCTTTTGATGGTATCAGGGGCTAAAAAGATATTTTAAAACATAATTCTTTTTTTTTTTTTTTTTTTAATTTGTCCTCCTCTGATCTGATATCATAAATATCAAAATACTTTAATCCAAACTGTATGGCTATTGCCATCACAGTGCAGAGCTCATTTTGTTTGTAAGCCTCAGTCTTGTATTTTCTGTTTCAGCACATTTCAGCTTCTCTTCAGTACCAGCTCAGCTCTGACATTTTGGGAGTTTGTGACCACTGAAATACTGAGCTTCGTGACGCTTTTCAAATAACTGCAGCACTATCTATACTACATTCTCTTTTCAATTTTGTGACAGATATTCTCAGCACTGACTCAGTCTTGAAGTCCCTTGCATTTTCAGGAAAAACTGCTAAGATTACGCTATCCTTTGGGACTATGTATACTGCCTACATAATATATATCAATTTTGTAGGCAGCTTATGGTAGGAACCATGTATTACATAAAGTTGAGTGTATAACCAATGCCCTTATTTAGGAATAACCCATGTTCTCACTCCTTCTGACTCCAGTGCCTGGTGGCAGACTGTGATTTGTTTGTGAGGAGATGTGTGGTAGCACAATAACATCTACTAAAATGCACTTGTTATTCCTGCCTTTCCCATTCAAAGATGAAGGCAGCAAGCAGCCAGCGGCGTAAGCTCTTTGGTAATCAAAATGCATAAGAGGCTCCTAGATCCTACCCATGTCATTCCATCTTCTACCTCCCTAGGAAGAAATGCTGTGATGGAGACGGCAGCATTATCATCAGGAGGGTACCACTGCTCCCTTCCTTCCCTCTCTCTCTCCCCAGTACTCCCAGAGAAATATGCTGCCTTTGGAAACTCACGTGCCAGGATATTATTCAAAGATTTATGGTTCCTGAGTCTCGCTACAGTCCGCTCTTGTGGCTTTGTTTACTTGGCAGAGTGAGGGAGGGAGGAGGGAACTGGATTAGCCTCAAAACCCCACAACAAAAGGCAGAAAAGCGCTGCCTTAGGCATTTAATAATCTGCCTTTCTAGAGAATTACTGAATATGCTGGAATTATCTCCTGAAAATCTGGTGTATTTTAAAATAGCAATTCATAGCACTTAAGAAGCATTTCATATCAGAATAGATTTGAAATCAACAGGAGTTTTGTTCTGACCTGGTAACCACTGTCACATACACATAAGAGAAGAACAAAATGTTCTGGGTTTATCGACTTTACCTTTATAAGCATAAACATTATGCTGATAAAAACAATCAGAACCACTGGGATGGGAGCATTTGAAAAAATAAAGGGAAACAATTCAGGTTTTTGGTCAAGTGAATAATTATCTTCCCATTTGTAAAGACCTTTACAGATGAAAGGGGACTGTATTATTTCCCTGAACATAACGTGGAGAGAGGACTGGAGTGGTGGTTTTGTTGTTTGTTTTCCTTTTTTGTTTTTTTTAAGAGAGGAAGAAAACTACCTACTCTTTGCTCATGGTATTGGACAGATACCATGCAGTGGCTCAAAACGCTAATTTGCTTAATTGCATTAGTCCACTCCCCTCCTGTTAGGGGAATTCAAGCTTCAATGGCAAATTCAACCTCCTAATGAGATTATGGTGACGTTCCCAACACGAGGCTGTGGGGTGGCTGTAAGATGGGCAAAGGAGCCACACGTTTCCTTGGTGACTGGCTGAGTGGTTAACCCTGGTAAGATAGGTTGGAGGGAAGAATCAGTCTGAGTGACAGCACTTCATCCTTTAAACTTCAGTTCACGGCTGAGCAAAGCAGAAATAGTGCCAAGCGTCGACCATGGGGAAATTACCCTTGTTTTAATCTCTGTCTCTTCCAGCTGACATCAGTAGAAGGGAACAAGACAAAGGACCTCAAGCTGTGGTTAAGATCATTAAAACAGAAGACTATAAAGCCATGGACGTGCCTGTACCATCAATTAAATATTAATTTCAGTTGAACGCAGACATTTTTCTTTGTTATGCTGTTTGATACTATCGTTATTATTATACCTTTAATCCATTTTATATAGTTTTATTCCTTTTTTAAGCTCCTTTGTAATGAAGGTGCCTTTTAGTCAGCTCCACCAGCTAATCAGATTGCTTTCCCTTCATTACTCACATTGAGCTTTTAAGGCCTGAAGCCTAAGCTAACTGGAATATATGTTCACGATTTAAGTAATGTGGAAGAGCTGAAACTATGCCAGAAGCACAGCACATAGCTATGTTTTTATTGCTGTCATATTGAGAGCAGGTGAGATGCTTTTGAATTAGGGGACTATTTCATCAAAAATGTGCACAGTTAGTGTACAGGAATATAACAGATGTGTTTATCACTCACAGATTTCAGTGGAAACAACTAACAGCCTTTTCTGACATTTGTCCAATAAATTAAGACAAATGCAGGGCAATGTTAAAGAGATTGTGTCTGTGAACCAAGAAAGACAAGAATTTGGGGGGGAGGTATATTATTTTTCCCCAAGGCAAAGATATTTCTGAGTCAGAGGACAATGCTGCCCATAGGCAACTAAGGAGTCTATAACCCACACACAGATCCCCCAAGCCTGGCTTAGTTCACAGCAGTGCAAATCTAGAGAATTTCCATTGCAGTCAGTTAAGTTAACCTGTGGTCAAAACCACTCGTAGAGGCAAAATTTTTTCCTCTTTCACAATACTGTGTACATGAGGAAAGATTGGAGGCACAGACCTGTGGGTAAACCTGAGTGAAGGGCTTCAAAGGCTACATTGACACAAAAGTGATAGAAAACTTACTGTGACCACTGAGCACCACTGGTGGGTGATTTGCCTCTCTGGTACGTGGCTGCTGCACAGGAATGTGGTGGTGGGGAACAGCAACCTGGTGCAAGGGCAAGAAGAAAAGGAGAGACCATTACTATGTGACACCAACAGCAGCAATTTCTAATTCCTCTACCCTCTAATTTAGTACCATCGAGAGTATCATCAATTGCTGAAATCTTTTCACTATTTTTAAACCTTAGGGAGCAAATGGAAATCACATTTTAAAGATGGAAACCTAATTAGGGTTTTTGAGAGCTAGTCATTTGCCAAAGGAGAAGTGACAAGGGCAGTTCTATATTCCTTACCTCTTCTCTCCTCTGGGAAGCTTTCTGTTGTGTCTGCTGCCAGTCCACACAGTTTTTCCTTTATTTTGGATTTATCTATGATGGCTCCCGGCAGACCAGTTTGATGTAGCTGGTCATCAGGATTAAAATGGAAGAATCAATAGGTTTTTCAGTTTGTGTTCCTGTTTTCCTCAGGACTTTTAGGAAAGCCTCTAATTCTTATAATCACATCTTGACCTTGGTTCCCAAGATCATCTATTTTTGAAGATACCTCCACTGTAATCAAAGTTGGCTAGTTATACATGTAGTATCTTTCATCTAGCTAGATTCAGATTAAAGGTTCCTGCAACATTTAGGGTGCTGAAGCAAATGGTAGGGAGGCTGTCACAGCTCTTACAGCCCCACAAGGCATGGGCATCTGCTGGGCATCTGCTTATGAGGACCATAGGCTTGGTGGCCCTTCCCATGGCAGCCCCTGCCAACCTTGCTCTGCTGGAGTCACACTTTTGCCTCCCAGAAATACCTTGTTACCCTCAACATGATCAATTGTCTGAAGTCAGTTCTTCAAAACACAATCTTCTTCAGTCCTTCAGTCTGAATATTTATGAAGTGAATGGCCACTTTTGCTCATTAGGGTCTCACAGTTCATGTGGGCTGACAGCAGCAGCCACTGTTGTGGCTGTGATGCATATCTGCTGCTCCTCCTCTTCAGATCTGGAATTTTTTTTCTGAAAATTTTTCCATCTCGGCTATCTTCAAGTTTCTTTGTTGTTTCCCATTGGTCTCGAGCTCAAGAGAAGTCATCCTGCTGTACTTCTGAAAGTTCATTGGGATCAGTAAGTTAATAGTTTAAGAAGCTGAGAGGCTGGGGAGAAAGCAAGATATTCAGAGCACCTTTTTAACGTATTTGATACATAATCAAATACAACCAAATATTTTGATAAATAAATTAGGAGCCTAATCTCTCTTGGCTTTCCTAACAGTGAAAGAGATAACTTGTCCTGGTTCCATTTGGTGGAGGAATCTAATTTAAGCATCCAGATTTAGATGAATTAAGTATATGATATGATGACTCCTTCCCACTCTTGTTCATTTTTCCACTGCTTACATGGGTGGGAAATTCAGATATATGTTACTATATTTTTTTAGAAACGTGATGTTGCCTCTTATTGTTAATGAGAAGAGATCAATCTCTGGAAATGTGAGAATGAAATTACACTCTTTTCTGGACTAGAGCCACAAGCTAATATAATCACGTAGAGCCTAGGAAAGAACTATGGAGACACCTGAACCTCAGATCTGAAACTCATGTGTATAATGAGAAAACCAGAACATTTATTAAATGTTTATTTAAGTAGGCTCAGAATCACAATCCCAACCATTTCTACTTTGGTCAGGAACAGGGAATAGAGAGTAAGGATGCAAACCCAGATCTCCACCCACAGTTTCAGTGGGAGAAGACATATCATATTCCCGCTGGGTTTTGCCATTGACTAATCCTGCAACATCAAGAATTTTTTTATTTGCATGATGAGGCCTAGGAATTAAAACAAGGTCTTAAAATGCAGCCACAAGACTTTTTGGAACTGAATTTTGGGTGTGTAACAGAAAGTCATGATAGTCTTTGGCTGTACTATGTTTTGAACACAGCTGCAAGCACACATGTAAGTCATTCCCTTAGAAACATCCATCTTGGTTATGGAAATACTTGGATTATTAGAAAATAACTACTAGTCATTATGAGAGATCACCCTCATCTAACCAGAAGGGCTGTGGAATATAGGTAATATTATGTGGAAATCTAAAAAAAAAGAAAAACAAAAAGGCTATGAAAGCAAAGAAATGCCAAGATACACCTTTGTTACGTTGCATTAGCATAAACTATAAATAGATGGGAGAAAATGCTCTCACAAATCCAATTCAGAGCTTGAGGAATTGCCTAATTACAGCCCTACCAGAGATGAGTGGTCAAGGACACCACCCTTCTGAATGCCAGCAACATTTTCAAACTACCTGACATATGCTTAGGTGCTTGGCCATCCACAGGGTATGAACAAGAAAGTATAACGTAATGGCCTTTAAGTAGGTTCATCCAATTGTCGTGGTTTAACCCCAGCTGGCAACTAAGCGCCACACAGCCACTCAGTCACTGTGCCCCTGCCAGTGGGACAGGGGACAGAATAGGAAGATTCAAACCCACAGGTTGTGATAAAGGCGAGCAGCCAGCTTCCCTTTCCAGTTTATATACTGAGCAAGATGCCATATGGCATGGGACATCCCTTGGGTCAGCTGGGGTCAGCTGTCCTGGATGTGTCCCCTCCCAACTTCTGGTGCCTCTCCAGCCTTCTCAGTGGCAGGGCACGAGAAGCTGAAAAGTCCTTGACTTACTCAAAGTTGCTCAGCAACAACTGAAAATATCAGTGTGTTATCCATGCTACTTTCATACTAAATTCAAAACACAGCACTGTATCAGCTACTAGAAAGAAAATTAACTTTATCCCAGCTGAAACCAGGACACCAATGTAGAAAATACTTACCTACATTAATGCATCTCCCTTTTGGTTCTACTGTCTTGCTCATCACACAGAATGTCATGTCAAATATTGCAATACTAGGAAAAGAGGTTTTACTGGTGTAATTGACATTCTTTCAGCAAAAGCTGAGGGCTAGTTTTCTGTGCCACCACAGAAATAACCCTATATATATATATTTTAGAAACAACCATAGTACATACAGGCAGTTTCTAGTTGAAAGATGTTTTCACTCATACGCTAATGATTTTGTTGGCTTTCCAATATTATCAACATTTGTTTCAGTATCTCTCTTCCATTTCAGCCTGTCTGCTCTTTCCTTCCTTGCTTCCTCTCTCCTTTCCTTCCTTCCGTCCCATCCTCTCTAATTCCTCTGCTCCCACTGCAGTAGTGCTCTGGAGGCTCCTGGCAGTCCCGGCCCGTAGGTATGAAATGTGCATGAGACTTTCATGTGACAGCTCCTTGGATCCTGACCCAAGCATCTGAGCCCTGCTTGCTTACTAGGGTTGCCAGAGGAGAGCTGGTGTGCAGCTTGTGCAGTGCTCAGCTGCCCCCCTTCTGACTGGCAAGAGGCTGTTTGATGGTACATTTGGGCACACCAGGAGCTCGGCTCAGCTAGTGCTGACAAGGTAAGCATCTCCCCCACTAATTCTGACAGGCTGACAATACATGTTTAATGCTAAGGAGCACAATTACCTCTCCTAGTACCCCATTAATATTTGTTTGATTAGTCTCGTGTCTTCTTCCTTTGCTCTCCCATCTAAATTCTCCCTTTCACTCTCTCATCTAAATTCAATCTACTTGTGACATACACCCATCCCTTACCCATTCTCTCTTTGTTTTCTCCTCAAACGCTCCTCTAATTCTCTTCCCTAAAGAAACAGTGGCCAAGCACACTGAGCAGTTAAAGCCCAGATAAGTGGTTACTGAGCTTGCAAGCCCTCCTTAACACAGCCTTGTACAGGGCTAAATGAGCAAGAAGGGGACACAATGGGTCATGCACTCAGGGGAGAGGTCAAGGTGTTAGCCATGGCTGAGACATACTTTCTAATGAAGAGTTTTTAAGGGAGATCAAAGATGAGGCTGAGCAGACATGCTACACTTGCAGTGTGCCAGAGGAGGAAGGAAACAGGTCCAGCTCCCTGAGGTCTCTCTTTACTGAAGCCTCTCACAGGGGATGGAGGAGATGTAAAGAGAGACGGAAAGCATGAGGCACTGAATGCCCCAAGCGACACAGGGTAGATCTGACCCTCAGCTGAATTACTGCCCGGTGTGCAACATTTGAGGTATGAGGTTTGCACTGTCCCACATACCTACTTACATTTGCATTCTCCCTCTTATTAATTACTCTTATGTTTTGCTATTATAGGAAGATGTGGTGCCTTAAAAGGCACATAACTTCCAGAAAGCCATTACTGCAGCATAACCCCTTCCTCTCTCGGCAGAGCTGGGACAAGTTAGACTTTCTCCGAAACCACTGCCTTCCTAAAGCTTTTTAAAAAACTGAAGCGTACAAAAAGGATCCATATTGATTTGATGGGAATTCAGTTTCTACATGGTAGCTGATTAGACCTGGATGATTGATTCAATTAATGAAGCTGATGCCTGTTGATCAAGCTGATAACGAATGTAACGCAGGGACTGCTTTCTGACCTATCCAGAGATGGACAGGCACCTGGAGGTAAACGTCTAATTTTCATTTAGACCCCTACATCAGACAACCCCCTTTTTTTTTTGCTTTTTTGTTTTTGTCTCTCAAACACTAATACTTACTCACGACGCTTACTTAGAACCGTGCAATGCATAGCGAAAGTTGGTCTTATTGCAGAGGAGCTGCAGTCTGCTTTTTCTCACTGACCAAATTGCATGCTGTGTCCATTTGGTGGGAAAAGAGAAGTGGAACTGGACAGAACAGCTCTCTTCCATTCTCCTTTGGGTTTCATTATCAATGACATTTTCAATTTCAGCAGACACCTAAACTTTCTTTATGAGCTGCTAGCACAGTCTAGCACAACTGCCACAACTGAAATATCTCCTACACAAATACATTTTATCCATCAGTATCTTATGACCCAGGAAAACATAAAACTCAATTTACTCATTAACCTTAGCTTCCTGAAACTGCAATTACTGCCCTGTGCACAGTCAGTAACTGAACTGAATGCGGGTAGCATACAAATGCCAGCCAGTGCTAACTACTGCTAAAAATCTAATCCTGCACGCTTACCAAAATTGCATGTGGCACACAGACAGCAGGTAGTAAAGCTGGAGTGTCAGAAAGGAAAATGCATAAAGTAGCATGTGCAGGGATTAAGGAGATGCAAAAGACCAGACTCACAGGAGCCCACTCAGTGGGAATAAACACCACATTATATTAGCTCAGGTTTACGGTTACAGTTAATAGTATGCAGTTATTACTTTTGCATTGAACAGCATTTTCTGAGCGGATGGTTTCACCACAGAATCAGATCTTGTTTTTCTCCCTGCCTTTTGTAATTCAAGAGGCGAGCTGGCATTTGACATAGCTTAGTGTTCCTTGCCCCAGATGTCAAAAAAGAAATCAAGACATTACAAATAAGGACTGCATCTAAGAAAATGAGATTCAGTTTGAAGTATACTTGTCTTTCAACATTGTTACTTTCCACTTTTTTCCTCCCATTGAACCATGAGTGTATGCTTTTCCAGACGTGTGGACAGTACTTTTGCATTTTTCAGTTTGATCAAAGTGTAGATGACCCTGGTCTCTTGCAGTTACATTTAATATCTCATCATGGCCCTTGCAGAAATCTCTCACTAGCTGTCTGAGTGAATTTATCATGAAATCTCATTTTCCTCTCACATTTATCTTGTTTTGTCTAGTTCCCTGGTTCCAGTGCTAATTTCTTACTTTTCTTCTTTGCTACTTGAAGATGCTCCAGTAAGTAAAAAGTGCCACTTAAGAGCTTGAGTTCTGAACTCATACAAGGCATACCTCTGTTAGTATTTTAATTCAGATGAGGATCTGCACTGTGGTTCACATCATAGAACTTCATGGTTTATGAAGAGGATTTCTACTAGAAGAGTCTAAACCAGAAGCTGTTCTTCAGGAGTGCGGGTAACAAATTCCGGTTGCTATCGGCAGTCGCTCCCTGAGGCCAGACCAGAGCAAGGCCAGAGCAATCCCTGCCCTAGCAATGTCCAGCACGAATGCAGTTCGACAGTGCTGCTCATTTTGGATCACATCACTTGTTAAGATTGACACAGCATCCATAGCATAAGTATACATAACTTTCTCCTGTTTTAATTTGGTGGTGCCTTGCAAGAAGGCACCTACAGAGGATCTACAGCTACCTAGAGAAAACAATATGTTATTTTGATAATCTTTCTGTTGTAAGTGATGTCTCTTTAATCTGATGTTTGACTAGTTGTCTGGTTTTCCTTGGCTAAACTTGTCTCAGCCTGACTGGAAACCTTGGTTTAGCTTGCTTAGATGTAACAACATTTTATTTTTTTCTAATGATCAGACCACATACTACCCATTCTGTGTAATTTTGTGTATTTTAATCATGTGATGTAATAAGTTTTATAGTGGTTGGCTATTCTATGTAGAAGGATGTATTTGGGACTCAAACATACAACAACCAGTGCAAATATATAGGAACAATGGCAAGGTATGACAGCAAAGGCCTTCGAAGTGAGAACACCAGATATGGTCTAGACAAATCAGTCCTGGACTGATAAGAGGGGGCTTGGGATAACACTAGGGATGCAAGTCCTCACCAACGGTAAATTAAAGATACTCACAATTTGAAGCTAGGCAAAGCCAGAGTTAGGAGTAAAAGAGAGCAAAAGGCATTACCCAACACACGTGAAATGCACTGTATATCATAAATGCAGATGTAATGTATTTGCAGACCAGTGAAGAAAAAGCAAAGTCTAATAAAATGTCAGAAACCACAAAAATAGCCCCAAGTGGAACCTAGAGTGAGGAAGAAGTTGCCAGCATCATATTCCTCTTGGCAAAGAGGAAGAAACCCAGTCATCAACATCACACTCCACTCAATGTGTGTATGTGTGCTTGTGTGCTTTTCTCTGCAACAATTTAAATTGATTTTTTTGTTTTTTAATACAGTGAGAAGTATTAATTTAGTAAGATAACTGGGACTGTGGAATTTAGTAACTGGACTATTTGAAGTAACTGTTTATTGCATTTTACTTAAGTCTACTAAAATGCCAATTAGATGAGCAATAAATTCTTGGCTTCTCAAGTAAGGTTTGTCCCCATTTTTGCTTATAACAAGTTCTTGAGAATAACAAATTGATTTCAATTAAGATGTATTTTGTTGCCCTTTTGAGTAATCCATGTCTGGATGCACAGAGTTGACTAAAACCTGCAAAGGCGAGTTATTTGAGTACAGATTTGCATCCAGAACACCTCCAGTAGTGGAAGTTATATGTAACCAAGCTTAAAGTTCTAAATGTGTCAGCGTGGGGATTTTCACTGCTTTCAGTCTGCTCTTAAGATGACAGAAACAGTGCAACCTGCCTGTGCTTTCCCTAGAGCGGTGACTACACACATCTTGTGCAAAACCCACCCATCTTGTCTGTCCTCCCACACACGTTCCACGGAAGAGAGTTCCTTAAGGGACGTTGGAGTGACACTGATTTGGGATAGTTGGTAGATACTGTTATCAAATAATATAAGACATGTAGAAAAATGTCATGAAAGAATATCTGTAATATCCAGCAATCGCAGACTGCATGAAAAGGGGGATGCACTTGATCTAATTTACCTAGATTTATAAAAGCCATTCAACCACATCCCTCAGGTTGTGAAGGTTCTTAAGAGATACTAAGGTGCCATGGGACAAAAGTCCTCTTCTGGTAACAGTGGTGATTGAATTATAAAAAGCTATTGTGTAAAGCAATGCTGAAAACCCATTTTTGAATGCAGTGCCAGCCTTCTTGAAAAGAGCTGGTAAAAGAAAATATGTACAGACAAGGGCTGCAACGATGTTTAAAGGTATGAAATGGATTCAATAACAGGAAGAACTGAAGATAAAAGGGCTTGCCAAGACTGTAAAGGATATGACTGATGGAAATATTTGATAAAACATCTTAAAATTACGGGAAGTTATTTTAGCACAGAAATGGTGAAAAGGAAACAATTGTTCATCTGTTTCTTCTGGTAAGAGAACGCTGGGGGATGAAACAAATTAGCAGATAATAAATTCAAAATAAAGAGAAGCTCTTTTCCCCATAGCGTATTGCTATGCTGTAGCACTTGCTACTACAGTATATTGAAGATATCAATAAACCACATGGGTCTAAAAAAATGCAAGCAATCGGACCAAATCTTGGAAGAAAAATCCATTGTGCTATTATGATTCATTAGCTCAGGGACAGCAGAAGTTTATCATCAAGATTTCCTGCCCATCAGGGGACAAAGTTTATTTTCTTTAAATCCTTGCTTATTTGAGGATTGCAGTGAGGAAAAAGCCTCCATTTTATAACACAGGGGATTAAGTTAATGAGGCTTGAGAAGCCCCTTCCATTTCTCTTTTCTTAAAAATCAAAACTGCATTGGAGTAAAGACAGCAATGCCCTTATGCAGATGTCATCATTGGTAGCAGATGGATTTTCTGGTCTCCTCTTTCTCCCAGTGGTTATTAGAGCTCTTTGCATTTTGTCCCCTTCTTGATATGCCACTAAGACTCCATTAGGGGCAGCTGCAGTAACCTTAAAGAAGGACTGTAGTCAGAAACCTGTAGCATAAAGTAATTTCATAACTTGGCAGGTAACACATTTTGGCTGTCCTACTGCCTTCCTTCCCTCTTTTCAGGCAAGCTTGGACAGTTCCATAAAGCCTGTGTTTATGTTGCTACTGTTTGCATCACTATGCCTGAGAAAAGTACCTGATTGCCCTCTTCAGTACCAGCCAGCTTTTAGGGACTCAAAATCTTACGCCAGATAAGGCGTACTAACACACTGAGACACATATGGTAAATTTTTATAATCTTTAAATGCCACATAATAAGGCTTTAGAGAACATGATAAGGAATCTGGGTTAGAGGAAAATAAAACAATTTTAATTTAAAAAAGTATCTTAATTCCCTTATGACAACAAAAATCACAGTCAACACCAAACAGGATTCCTCCTTTCTAAGAGCAAAAATCATCTTCAGGAAACAAAAATTCAAACTTATAACTAAAAAAAAAAAAATTCATAATGATCTGTTAGGATCTAGAGGAAGTTGGATTCTTTTGCAAGGGCTGGCACCTGGCCAGACTGACATAAAATTTTGTTTAAATGGGATTGACCCTATAATCCTCTGTGATAAAACAGCATCTTCAAAGAATAATGTAAGGAATCAGACCTCTGAAGTACTTAGTATTAACATACAAAGTTTACCTTTACAATTTTAAGGAAAAGTACTCTTCCCCAGAGATAGTTTGCCTGTATTTTGGCCAGAGTTGGAAGGAAAAATAATTTCACTCAAGACCACCCAATCACATAATAGTAGAAAGAACAGATTTTATGGACAATTCTAAAATTGTCAAAAAAAAAAAAAAAAAAAAAAGAATGAAAAAGATGAGTCCTGACGGAGAGAAAAGTAATAAATCACACTGATGTTTTTGGGGGACATTTTGATTCATTTATTGGGACATTAAGAAGGCCCATCTGGATACTTAATAATTTTTGAACAAGATATTGAAGGGGATCCTCAAGAAGTACAACAGATGGCACCTAGCATGCAGATCACTGGAAGTTAGCTAAAAATATCCTTTCTGTCAGAAAAGACACTTAAGCAAACACAACTTTGCATACAGAAAGAAAAGTGCCTTTTTAATCCTTCAGTACTTCCTTCTTGTACGGAAACAACACACTCGTGCATTTCTTTGGTAATATTTTTAGCACCCACAGCTATACATCACTATTATACTTTAAGCTGCTGCTTTGGAAAAAGCAGGATTTTTGACGAAAGAGACATTTAATCAGTAGGAAGCAGTGAAAAGGGTTCCCTTCATCCGACAGGGCAGGGAACACCTCCACCGGTGGAGCTTCACTGACCCCTAATGGACAATCTCCACCAGTGCGCTGCCCTGTCAGGAATTTCAAGCCATGCCAGAAAACCTCAGAGTACTCGAAACTTCCTTCAGCCTAATATGAACTCTGACACCTCAGCTTTTCATTCTTTAGTGTGAACATATTTATGCCACCTTCGTATCTGACCGTCTGAAATGTTCTAAGAAACCAGAAGGAAGAGAAAGATGAACAAACGCTACATTTAATGCAGCAATTCTGACAACTAGTTAGGACAGAGCAAATCCAACTCTTTAAAAACTACAGGTTTTACATCTTTCAACAAGAAATAAAAAAATGCTAAGGACTAACATCTCCAATTGACCCATTTCAACTGTTTAAAAAGGAAGAGCTGCAATCGGCACAATCAAGAATCTGTATAAACAATGGCAGTAATTTGAAAGGCACAGTCCAAGTATTTGTGCCTTTTCTCCCCGAAGTATGACTATACCTGCCATCAGGACAGTAATGAGCTGATCCATTCCTGGGAAAGGATTCTTTGCTTCAGCAAAGTTACTACTGTTTCCTCTGAGTGAAAAACTGCCAGAGCAAGAAGGGAGAATGAATTCATGCTGGTTGCTGCATTTCCTTTTTGTCTTTCACAGACTGCAGAGATGAACTCATGAGGATGAACTCCCAATATAGGAAAGTGACCAAGATGGAAACAGACTGCACTTCCCATTCCTTGTCTAAACAAAAGGGTTTTGTTCACGTTCTTTACTAGCTTGGTAGCTCCGTTCCCTTTTCCTATGTACCTTGCTTTCCTTCCCACCTCAGAAATGCACCTGCTATAAATCTTCCAAACTAGTGAGATTCTGACATGAAGCAGGTAATGGCATGGAACAAAAGGATCCCAGAGCTGATGCTAGCACTGACAGCTAGCAGAACAGCCCCATTTAGAAAAACAATAACACTGGACTGTAAGCAGCTACTGGCTTCCATGGCTAACTGGATTAACTAGAAATCCTTGCCAAAGTCAAAAACACTCACCAAATTTCCAATTCTTCTTAAATCTAGCACTCTAAGTAATGATCACTTTATGATATCCCTTTCACAAAGAACAATAAAAAGGCAAACCAATTAAGGTAAGCACTTTGCTGCCAGAGATTCTTTGTCCTTCAGTGTGGTGACATAAATTACAGATTAATTTAATCTCTGGTTGACTGAGCCCCTTGGGAGGCAGTCTTGAAGGGTAAAGGAATCCAGGAAGGCTGGATGTGCTTCCAGAAGGCAATCTTAAAGCCACAAGAGCAGGCCATCCCCTGCGCTGCAAGACAAGCCTGCAAGGAAGATTGGCCTGGCTGAGTAGGGAGCTTTGGCTGAAACTCAGGAAGAAAATGGAGAGTTTATGGCCTTTGGAAGAAGGGGCAGGCAACTCAGGAGGACTACAAGGATGTCATAGGTTACACAGGGAGAAAATTGAAAGGGCCAAAGCCCAACTAGAACTTAACATGGCTACTGCCACAGAAGACAATAGAAACTGTTTCCATAAATACATCCACAGCAAAAGGAGGGCTAAGGAGAATTTCAATCCTTTAGTGGATGCTTCGGTAAACACAGTGACAAAGGATGAGGAAAAGGCTGAGATACTTAATGCCTTCTTTGCCTCAGTCTTTAATAGTAAGGCCATTTGTTTTCTGGGTACCCAGCCACCTGAGCTGGAAGAATGGGATGGAGAGCAGAATGAAGCTCCCAAAATCCAAAGGGAAAGTTAGCAACCTGCTACACCACTTAGATACACACAAGTCTATAGGGACTGATGGGCTCGACCCAAGGGTCCTGAGGTAGCTGGCAGGAGAGTTCAGTAGGTCACTTTCTGTCATTTATCAGCAGTCCTGGCTGACCACGGAGGTCCCAGCTGACAGGAGGGGGACAATCTACAGGAAAGGCCAGAAGCAGGATCTAGGGAACTACAGTCCTGTCAGTTTGACCTCAGTGCCAGGGAAGGCCATGGAGCAGATCATCTTTAGCACCATCACACAACATGTACAGGACAGCCAGCGTAAGTGTATGAAAAGCAGGTCCTGCTTGACTAACCAAATCTCCTTCCATGACAAGATGACATGCCCAGTGGGTGAAGGTCACGCTCTGGATGTTGTATACCTGAACTTCAGTAAAACCTTTGACACTGTTTCCCAAAGCATTCTCCTGGTGAAACTGGCTGCTCATGGCTCGGACAGGTGCACTCTTCACTGGGTTAAGAACTGGCTGGAGGGCTGGGTCCAGAGTGGCAGTGAATGGAGCTGCATCCAGCTGGCAGCCAGTCACTAATGGGGTTCTCCAAGGCTCAGTCTTGGGGCCAGTCTTCATTGATGATCTGGATAAGAGAATTTAGCGCACCCTGTCAGTGTGGAGATGACACCAAGGTGGGCAGGAGTGTTGATCTGCTGGAGGGCAGCAAGGCTCTACAGAGGGATCTGGACACACTGGACTGATGGGCTGAGGACAATGGCATGAGGTTCAAAAAGGCAAAATGCCAGTTCTCGACTCAGGTCGTAACGAGCCCATGGTATGCTACAGGCTTGGGGAAGAGTGCCTGGAAAGCTGCCCAGTGGAAAAGGACCTCAGGGTGCTGGTTGACAGCAGCTGAACGTGAGCCATCAGTGCGCCTGGGTGGCCAAGAAGGCCAATGGCATCCTGGCCTGTACCAGGAACAGTGTGGCCAGCAGGATCATGGCAGTGATTCTCCCTCTATAGTCTGCACTGGTGAGGTTGCACCTCGAATCCTGTGCTCAGTTTCACATCAAGAAAGATCTTGAGGTGCTGGAGTGTGCCCAGAAAAGGGCAAGGGAGCTGGTGAATGGGATGGAGCACAGGTCTTATGAGGAGTGGCTGAGGGACCAGGGGTTGTTTAGGCGGGAGAAGTGGAGGTTCAGCAGGGACATTATCGCTCACTACCACTACCTGAAAGGGGTTGTAGCCAGGTGAGGGTCAGCTTCTTTTCCCAAGTAACAGAACAGGAGGAGATGGTCTCAATCTAAATCAGGGGAGGCTTAGGTTTGGTATTTTAACTTCCAATCCTTTTTTTCCAACTTCTTCTGGTCTTCCTTTATCAGAAGTACCAAATGTTGACATTAGTTGTGTATCTCTGCTCTGAAGGAGCAGAACATCTACTGAAAGGAAAATGTGACTGTCACTATTCCTCTAGCAACAGTGCATCATTTGAGACATTCAGATAAGCCAGTGGTTTTCATTTTTCTGTGATCAGTAGACAAAAGAGAAATTTCCAGTCTTCCTATGTTCCTATTGTTCACTTCTGAAGAAATGATCTGTTAACCCACTGGCTGAATGCCCACTAGAGTCCAGGTCTAAAAGTTTAGAGACACAATCAAACATTATTTCAGTCTCTTTATAGATATAAACTTTGGTTTTGGTACCAGACACAGTGCTAACTGGACATAATATAATTTCTGGAATTTACTGGATTAAATCCTAACTCCATTGAAATTAGTGGCAAACCGCCCTTCAGCAGCCACGATCTATCTACAGTTTTTTCAATATTTTATTATTTCTGTGATTCAAGAAAGTCAAGAAACCACCACTGCTTCAGAGCAGGTGTTACTATCCCATTTCTGACTCCTGTGATTTCTGCTTACCAAAAGACACTCCCGTGTATTTTTTCCATCATGAAGAAAACTGCCAGGGACTAGAGGACCTCAGCAGCATCTGATGAATTTAGTGGTAAAGCATGTATTAGAAGGAAACAAACCCACACACTTCCTGAAGGGTGGGAATGGGACCCCCTTAACCAGGGCTTCTGAAGAACAGTGATCTGCTAAAACAGCGTTAGAAAAGAGCTGCAGCTAGTGCTCACCTTCCCTTCTTCTTTCCATCCTGTGATCTCTCTCAGTGGTTGTGCAGACCATTCAAACAGTCCATCATTAGATGTCAACAAAGGTTGGGCTGACTGCTGAACTTCCGTATGAGGCAAGGGAGCAGCAGGAATAACTTTCTTTTCCCACCCCTCTTTCTGCATCACACCACAAACGTCTGCTGGGTGGAGCAAGGACATAAATGCAGTGGTTTTGACTCATATAAAATTTGCAGAGAGAAAATCAAAAGTCAAAACCCTCTCCATAGTATAATGGATGCAAAGCAAACAGGTTTCTGGAAATTTTTATGATTTCCAATAAATAATCAAATACATTCAAACACTCACATAAATATGTCCTTCTCAAATGCAATAGTTTTTAATTTTTGGTACAAGAGACTGAGATTCCAATCTGCCTATATACAAACAGCACAGAACTACAAAAAGAAAGTTTATCTAAGTCAAATGTCTTAATTTTTATTAAATTCAAAAACTGCAGGAAAAAAAATCACAAGTTTCTAAGTACAAATAAAAACAAATCAGCTAAAATAAAACGGTTGTCAAGTTAAAATCAATTTTCCATAAGATTCCCTTCCTCGTTATTACCCACAGTATCATCAGAACTCATAGAAGTGCTTTAGAAATTTATTTTACCTTGCCAGTATGATAGCAAACTGTAAGTTTACTATGAAAAAAAGCAAACTGTTTAGGCACAAGGTGGTAGAAGACACAAATATCAACCATGCTTTCCTTAATTTGTCAGTAGAAATCCAGGTGTGCTTAAGACCTGCATGGTATTGTATTCATACTGTCAGAGCTTACTCACTGAAATAAGGGCTCTTTTTTTGGTGTGGTTTTGGTTTAGTTTTTTTCTTCTTTTTTTTTCTTTTTCTCTTTTTTTTTTAATGTTAACAGTTTGTTGTATCTTTTTTCTCCCATAAAACAGAGAGAAGCTGTTTAAGTCAGTGGTATGCCTTACTGTTCAGTGCCAGCGTTCTGGCTAGAAGAGTGGCAAAAGTGACAAAATGTGTTCCAGCACCAGAGAACGTGAAGTAGAGAAGCTGTAGTGTAAAAAAGACTGGTTCATACTTGTGTTGTCTGTGTAATTAATAGTCTGGTGACCACCTGCTAAGACAGCATGACAGGCAGTCACATGCTATTTGAAGATATGAGCTGGGCTAGGTCATCAGCTGCTCTCCCAACAGAGCAGTGATCAAGGTGAACAACTAACATCTGCTGCTCCTCTCACTACACCTTAAGGAACTGTCAAACAGAAAATTAAACCATAACAAAATTAAAACAAGTGTTGTTCCATATTCCAGATTCTACCTTTTACCCATCACTTGATACTTGCCATTCTAATAACAGGTGCAGTTCCACTGTCATTCATAAATACAAAATTTTATTTGCACTTCATTAGTTTAGAAAGACCACAATGTTTTTCAATACCACAACATTCAGGACACACCAAGTTATTCAAATATATATCTACTGATTTACCACAGCTAAACTAAACAGTGCATTTAATAAAAGATATACCAAAGATATAATTCACAAGTTAATTATCAGACAAAATCCTAACACAGTATTTGCTTGATGGGAATAATTTCCACCATTAGGAAAGAAAATAATTTTACCTTAGGTTCCCTTCCCCCCAACCCTACAGATGTCCAGACAAAAATACACATATATATTCCTTAACACAGGAAAAGTATCATCTTAATTTTTTTTTTCTTTTAAGAGTTTGTCTAGGACAGCAGCATTGCTTTTTATACCTTCTTTTAGAGCTTGAATATATATCCATTCTTTTATTGAAACTTAGTGATTCTTGTAACCCAAGTTTATGTTTATGCAGAAAATTATATAGGCTATTTCAAAGTGCAATCTTAGATCTGCACCAGATGTGATGTCTTGGTACACAAAGAAAGGGTGCAGCATTAAACAAAATAAATAGAAGACTGCCAAAAATTAAACTTAGCTTTTCAATAAATCCAGTCAGCAGAGGATGCTACAGCCAAAAAATGTTTTCACTACATTAAAAGGAAACATAACGCCGATTATGGAAGCTTTGTACATAAAGTCCTCTGTTTTTAAAAAATTTGTCTTTAAAATAGTTAGCAAAGCACCATATACTTATCTTCATACCAGAAGAGCTTCTGCCTGCCTGTTTATAATAACAAAGAACTATTACAACATTTATGTCAAGAATAGGTATAGATTTAATTTCTCCTTCTCCTCAACTGGATGTGTGGCAAACCCCCAACGACTGTACAGTATTTATAACACTGGGGCAATGAACAAAACATCATTGTGAGGGAGAGGGGTAATAATGTTATAGTTGAATCCTACATAGGATTGCATATTTGCATATTTACAAGTTAGTGTGTAGCTCTGACTTGAATAACAAAGTGCAACGAGAAACTGCCAAATGATTGTAGTGCAGAGTAGTACAGATACTTTCTTTACCCTCCCGCTCCTATTTTTCACTCTGTAGGAAGTAACAAGTCAACAGCAACGGACATGTGGCCTTGGAGGAGGCAGTTCTGGTGGGATTTCTGGCTCTGGTTGCAGGGACAGGATACTGTTGGACAACTCATTTCTTATAACATCCAGTGGCATCTTAAAGAAAAGAAAAATCACCTGTAACAGTCATCTGCATAGAACTCAGCACAAAGAACTCATTTCAAGAGTTCACTGTCAGCCAAAGCCTCAATTTAAGGACCTTTTGGGTCTTATTATTAGTGAAATACAGCAGTCAGCAGTCTGTGAACTACATCACGCCCACTACATGTTATCCAAAAACTTCATGTGACAGTCTGTACTTGCCCTCTACGTCCTCCCAAGCATGTGCAGTCATTATTTAAACATTGACCATTTATGTGGTCAGAGGAACTACCACCTGAGTATTTTACCTTTTTCAGAATGTCATCAACAAGTTTTAGAAATATTTCATCCACATTAAAATTATCCTTGGCACTTGCTTCACAGAACCGCATCCCAGTTATTTGCTGTGCAAACTGATGGGAGAGAAAATAAAATAACTCTATGTAGATATGCACAAACTGCAACAAATAGCAAATATACCTACCCTCCCCGTAAAACCTTAAGAAACAATCCAAGCACATAATTTTCCCCAAATCTGTCACTAAAGTCTATTTCAAATAATAATCCTGAATCTGCAGGGTGCAGCAAATATTGCAACATACAGGTAATTTTTGCTTAAAATAGGTTTATTGGGAAAGTGTTCTGCATTTTTCCAGACTTGAATCTGAGAAATTCATGTATTCAGTTGACACGAGATTGCTGCAGATTGCCAAAAAGTAGTAACTTTTCAGAAGAGTCAATCTTAACCTTATTATTCAAAATGCAGGAAAGGGAGTACAGATGTAAGAATTAGCCTTGACTCTCTGACAGAAAACACTTCACTTTCAGATGTTTGTGTATGCCCATACTGATACTGTCCTGACCAAGATGGTGCTATGAGTATCACACTAATGATATGAGTATCTTGACTACCCTTGTCACTCTTGTACTTTCTAATACTTTTGGAGTTGCAAGAGAACAAAAGAAATATGAAAACAAAGGTGAGCTAAGTAATCAAGCAGGGCTGCTTCCTGTCCAAAACAGTACTGAAAGAAGGCTCACAAAGATGTCCTGAGTAGAGGTATCTCCATTTGTGATTCAAGTCTTCACTTTCAGAGCCCAGAAAGTAGTTTCCCCTACATTACTGTATAGTGTAAGCCTACCTACAGCTTACTCATCATACTGCCCTAGCAGGAACACATACAAACCACACATTCTACAGAAGTAAATACCACATGAATTTTGTCAGATCACCACCACTCTCAATATGCTCCCTACAACTAACAGTCAGAACAAGAGCAGCCATGGACCATCAGCAGCAGTGCCACAGCAGCTTTGCCTCTAGACCTGTCCTTACCTTTTCTCCCTGCTGTCGAGTAATCTCTCGATCAACTTCACAGTCCAGTTTATTTCCAACTAATAGAAGCTCTGCATCTTCTGAAGCATACTGTAATTAAAACATTTTTAATTAACTAAACCTAGAAAAGTAAGATTTTGTGATGCAAACACAATACAAAAAAGGGCAATTCCTCTGCTAAATGGGGATCCACAACAAATCAGTTTATATGTAAATGTTCTTCCCAAAAATTATTTCAAAAATTTTCAACTTCAATTTTTAAATTGCATCTTTAAAACATGACTTGAGAACTAGCTGTTCTGGTTTATCTAAGAATGAACATAATGACCTCGTTTCACAGGCAGGAAATAACCCCCTCCCCTTACTGCACAGGTAAATGAGTAATGTTGCAGATTTCCACTGACACTTCTAGCTGGGACAATTCTAGTTCAAGCATTTTGCAACAAAACGAAATTAATGTTAAATCCTGGCTAAAAGAATCTAGTGAAAATCAACTGTCAGTAGTTTAAAAATCCTAAATCAATGCTGTAAAATGTCTGACAGAGATTTCTCCGAGATAAAAAAATGCTTCTTGAAAAAAGAATGTAAAAAGAAAATACTTAAGGCATACCTTATCAATCATTTTCATCCATTTTGGCAAATCGTCAAATGTTTCCTTCTTGGTGATATCATACACCAAAATAATTCCCTTGGCACTTCTGTAATAAGCTGAGGTAATGCTGTTGAATCTCTCCTGACCTGCTGTGTCCCTAAGAAGCAGCAGCAAACATTGGCACAAACATTTCACCAATTTGCAAAGTACAGAATAACTTTATTTAGATTTTAATAATAACACCCCCACACTCATTAGACACTCTACATTTCCTCCTGTATGTGTGAATTTCAGGGAAAAAAATGGAGCAGTACTTTTAATCATAAAAAGTTTTCATATTAGAACTATTTATTCCACGCTAACTTCACCAAGAAAGGTCCCCAAACATTTCTACATGTGTCTGAGAACAAAGTTGTGCAATGAAAATGTACCAGCAGATAAAGCTGGTTTTGCATTGCTGGAGTTTGTTGTTTGTTTTGTGGTCTCCTGTTTTCGTTTGTTTTTGTAATAGCCCTGAAAAAATGAAAAAATGAAAAAATATATGGATATATGCTGATCAAATACATCCAGACACCCAGCTATAACATGAGCAATGCACTGATCATTGTGATTTGAGCTTTTAGGGTCTTTTTGGATCAACCACAGCAATTAAGCCACAGTTCCAAAACTACTTAAGAAACTACTTGCACAAAAGTGAATGAAAAGAGTAAGCAATCACTAAGTGGTACAACTTTTGAAAGCAGATACCCGGCTTTCACACTCACATCTACTTATCTGAGGTGTTCAAATAACATCTTCATGCTCACTGTCAGCACTGTAGGTATTTCAGACAGGGTGAATTTACACTGGAGACTATTTTCCAGCAATGACGCTAAGTCACCCATACTAGCTATGGTTTCTGTTCCAAAGTAGATGAGACAGAAGCGTAATTTTTCACTGAACCATGAAAACCCGTGCACTGCTTTTAATTGTATCATCAAGCCTGCTTAGGGAAGATTTTTGGCAGTTATAATAAAAATATAGCTGGTGCATACTCCAAGTCGTAAAATGTGACTGGCATCTTAACTGGAAAGGAAGTTATATGGTGCCCCAAAGTGATTGAACATTTGCTGCTTGAGTTCAACCCCCAGATTAAACAGATAATTTTGAAATTTCACTTAGACCAAGTCAGAAGTTGGACCAAAATTAAGAGTGGATGGAGAAAAATGTGTGTATTTGTGTTGGGACTCCGAAGTTCAACGTGAACCCTCTTGTAACAGTCACATTTTAGACAAAAGGAGGAGGAGGAGAATGAATTTGGGAATGAGATTAACAATGGAGACCTGAAACACTTGTTACCAAAAAAAAAAAAGAAGTGTGTTCACAAAATGCCACATCGATTGTCCTGAAAATTTAATCCTTTTAAGGCCTATGCACAACAAGCAGTAGAACAAACTACCATAAACCTATCTTATTCTTTATAAAATCTTTAGGAATTTCAAAAGAGCAAGTTTAAAAGTGAAGTACTTAACTTTCTCTTGAAATTGCCACAAGTGTACTTGATAGCAAAAAATATGTGGCAGTGAATTCACAAAGTAAAGCAGTGTCCACTAGAAAAAGATTTGGAACCTCTGCTTCATAGCCTGTGGAAAAATATTGACTTATATTTCACTGCAAGCCAATGACATTGCAACATGGGTCAGAAGAGCACAAATTCCTATCACATCCCTTTTTATTTGATTTTTATTCAAATCCCATTCTCAGAACTTCAGAATTACATTCATACAAACCTTTGGGAACCTACAGAAGGTGAAAACAGGTAGCCTATTTCAATAAGGTCATGCACTAGTAGTATTGCAGACCAGTTTTAGATGGTTAATTGGTTGCTTTCTTATCACTAAAGAAGCATTTTTATTAAAGCAATACAAGTTCTGGCAGCTGAAAATACATATATAAGTATTAGTCAGAGTAAGTAACTCTATTTTCCATTACTTCTTTGCTATGGTCAGATTGATTTATGTAAGGTCCTTTGGACATTCACTCCATGAAAAATTTACAAATTCTAGTATGAACCGTTGATTTTCCACATATGGATAACATTGCTCTAGTGCTTATGAACAGAATTCTCAGAATTCTGCCATCTGTTGCTAATCCAGCCTACAGATCAAGCGTGTTAAGGATGGGATACCTTTGGTTCCATCATTCTGAGAAGACTTAACTAGATGGCAGGTGGAAGGGCATACCTCATGTAGAATACAACCACCTTAGCTTTGTCTGGAATAATGGGGAAAGCTGCTTTTGCTGTCATTGGGGTTTTTTTTAGTTGCTTGGTTGGGTTTTTGTTTTGGTTTGGGGTTTGTTCTGTGTTTTGTTTTTGTTTTTGTTTTTTTCCTGGCCAGTCTTTTCCCTCTTTTCTGTAGCCCTATCGGAACACAGAAATAAAGAGGGTATTTCAGTCACCTGTCTGTGCCTCCAGGTGACTGCTAAGGATCTTCAGCAACTCCAGCACAGAGGGGCCACCAGGGTACCAGATCACTGAGTCCATACATTACAAAACCAGAGGGGAAATAAACACACTAATGTTCACCTACCCTCCCTGAAGCCAGTCATCAGCACACTGGTTAAGTAAGCAATGAAGAGAACTACACAACATTGTTCAACTCTCCCACTCCAGCTATCTCCCAACTCCACATTTCCCATAGCCTGTTAAGTGCTGTATATCCAAATCCACCTGGTACTATCAGCTTCTCCTCACTCTACAACACCCTCAGACTCTTTAAAAATTTATGGTATTCCTAGGTTGCTGCACCCTCATGATCCTGTGCTCCCATTTGTGTAGGTCCTTCATGCCAATGTCACACAACTTGTAGTCTCCATTCCTGGCTATTTGGGACACACCACATGCTGTGCCCAGTTTAAAACACCCATGGACAGCCTGGCTGCCCACTACCTAAAATAAATGGCCAGATGGCTACTGACTGACACCTGCCAATCGTGCCAATTACTGTGGATTATGGCTGGCTTTCTCTGCCTTGCTTTAAGTCATCGACTTCTCCACACTTCACACAACCTCTACTGCTGCTGCAGGTTGAAATGAAACCAGTCAGCAGGTTTGATTGTAAGCATGATATTCTTACCCTTGCTTCCTTTGAAAAGTGGAAGAAAATAAGCTGAATTTGTGATCTCTAACATTACCCTAACATTGTATTTGCTATCAAACAGTAAAGTGAAAACTGGAAAACTATTTCTGCAATAAGTAAGTTTAGAATGCAACCCCAAGCTACCTAAATAAACCGCAGTTTGAGAAGAATAACACGTTGATCTTTCGCGTGGAAAAAATCTCATCTTCATCTTATTTTTCATGCAAATGTGCAGTAAATCCTTCCAATATTCAGGAAAAAATCACAATCCCCAAAGGAGAGCTACCATTAAAAGCACAACCAGCTTCAAATGCCTTCCTTTCACGTGCAGTGCTGGAGCAATAGTTTGCTACACTATTTTCATCCATGTATAACCATTCCTGCAGCTGGAATATTTTACTAAGGATAGCTATTGAAGCACTAATGGAAAGGTGGAAGAAGAGATGACCACTATTTAACTGGGCTAACAGTACATAATTTCATCAACTTCATAGGTGATACTAAGTGCTACTAGTTCTTTATTTGCTCTGGTCAGAATCAATGCAATAGAGTAAGTCAGTTGAATTTAATTCAAACTCCAGAAGTCCAAATAATAAGTTAGTACAATTTAAACAATGATCTGGCATAACTGGGAAAAAAAAAATCAGATTTCTCTTTTTTAAGTGCTAAAAGCCTTTTTTAATTGATTTTTTCAAGAAAATTTTCTAAAGGAAAAATATTAGTATTTCTAAATTGTAATTAGAAACATACAGTGAATGACTCCTTGACCAGCTATATTCTGCAACTATAGAATCCAACTGCTTGACTGTTTTTCTGCTTCCAAAACAGAAACTAGACATAATTCCAAAAATACAAACATACATTACACCAAACAAAAGCAAATTAAAAAAAAACCACACAAAGCCCACTTTCAAGCATTAACGTGTCATATTTATGTCAGACTGCGTAAAATACAATACAAATGCAGTTAATTAAAATATGTTTGGATAATTTTTCTTTTACACAAATGTAAATGTGCCTATCTAAATCAGTTGAAACAAACACATGGACAGACTCAAAACTGTCTCTGCCTCTGTAGTTAAACTACTTTTTTATAAGTGGTGCAATGGCAATAGAAGGGAAAATATTTCTAAAACTTTAATAAAAATTTAACACTAATTTAACACTCAAATGCTCTATGCTTTTATAGAACCTATAGGCAATATTTTTAAAAATGCTTTAAAGTAATTTTAGAGGTTAATTCTACTTGTCAAGATGAGTTTTTTCCTCCCATAAAGATACTTAAGATCTTTTATTATATAAATAATTTATTTCAGAGGTATTGAACAAACGGAACTACATTCTCTTACACTCCAGGACAGGGTTTTTCCAAGACAACTGAGCCTTAGAAAACAGAGCTGGCAGAACACGAACTGAGAACGCACCAATTTAAAATAACCTTCAGAAGCAATTGGGCATTAGGCTTGTAGAGAGCCCCTCTGGCTCCAGCAGGGATCTGGGTGCAATGGCAGGGCACCACTGCTTCCAGCTACCACGTCCTTTCAGAGGGGAGGCTGCAAGTGACTGCTGGCTGTGTCAGCTGCTTGTGTGAATGAGTGCCCAGATGACCCAGGTAAGAGGGCACAGTCGGACACCTTACAGTCCTGCTGAGCAACTCCCAGCACACCCATGCTTCAGAGCATCAGTGTGAGGCTCCTATTATTTGGTGTGGGTTTCCAGCTTTGAAAAAGTGCTGATTCACAGATGCTTGGTTTCACTTGGACACTCAGACTATCCAGTAGTTCTGGTTACTCTACCCCATGGCTTGAGCTGCAGGCATGCATTACTTCTTACAGAACACAGGAACTTGTTTCAGCCAAGAACTGTGATGCAGGACCCGAATTACTGCATCCCACTACTTTTGGCAACCCAAGGGACACAACTACTGTTCCAGGTGGCACAGAAAAGATGGACACTACTCTGTGCCCTCAGTGGTGCTCTATTATTGCATAATCTAAGAAGTACAAGGTTGCTTCCTGACTGAAAGTCAGGGAAACAGGGGAAGCAGTGGAAGCAGGGACCAGATAGAGGTAAGAGCAGATAGCTCTGTGATCCTTAGGGCACAAGTCCTTTTGTATACTACTCTACTAACAGCAGCAGGTGTGAAAGCTGCTTTAAAAAGGATGTCTTGCACACCCAATTGATTGAAATATTTAACATAGTACTGCTTTAATATATCTTTTGATAAACTTAAGTGGTAGAACTCTATGGAAAACATTCTGCTGACAGAGTGGTCAGTGGAGAGACAGGTCAAGTGACCATAAAAATACCAAATTTAAACTTTTTTTAAACTGTTCTTGTTTTACTTTAAAAGTAGAATCATTAAATGACTAAAAAAAAACAACAAAAAAAAGAGCAAACCTTGATGCTTCAAAATATAACTTTAGTCATTTTGAGAAAGCAAATAAGCATAAAGTTCAGAAATTATCTGTTCACTGAATAAAACATTTTTGTAGTGAAGTTACTGCAATTATCGTAAAACTACCAGGAAGTATGAGGCAACCTAAATTCTGTCACTGTGTAGGTATGAAAGGAGACTGACTTATGATTACCCGAGCAATTGAAGTCTGCATTTCTAACTTCCAAGTGTTTGACTTACTAAATTGTTTTCCTCTTCAATCTAACAAATGAAGATACAATAAGGAGTGGAGGGAGCTGGGGTTGTTTAGCCTGGAGAAAAGGAGGCTCAGGGGAGACCTCATCCCTGCTCTACAACTACCAGAAAGGAGCTTGTAGCCAGCTGGGGGTTGGCCTCTTTTCCCAAGTAACAAGCGACTGGACAAAAGGAAACAGCCTCAAGTTGTGCCAGGGAAGGTTTATATTGGATATTAGGAAAATAAACCTCTTTATCAAAAGGGTTGTCAAGCACTGGAACAGGCTGCCCAGGGCATGGCTGAGTCACCTCAAGAGACATGTAGACATGACACTTTGGGACATGGTTCAGTGGAAGACTTGGCAGCAATAGGTTAACAGTTGGACTCTTTAATCTTAAGGGTCTTTTCCAACCTAAATGATTCTGTGATTCTGTGTTAATAAGAGTTTATAAACAGGCCCAACAAAATACACAACAGAATTCGGGATAAATTAGCAAAAAGAGTGCTTATCTAATTGCTTTTCTAAAAAACTAGAAGTAAGCCAAGACAGTTTTAAAGATTCAGTATAAGAACAACATTTTAACAGCCACGTTGGAGACGAAGTGACACTCAGGAGGATGTTGTGTTCGTGGATTTTATCATATTTTAAAGTATTATCTCATTAGACTGTGTTTTCCTTGACATTTTAGCAGGGGTCCACACAGGAGTAATTATCACAGTTTAGCAATCTATCAACTTTTAGTTTTAAAAATTTCCTATATCCTACTAGCATATTCTCAATATGTGGAAAATAATGGTTTAAACATCTCTTTTCCAAAAAAACTTCTCTCCTATAATGCATTTATTCAACAGGAGAATTTTTTTTTTTTGTATAAGCTTACCACATTTCACAGCAAGCATTCATATTAGGCATACAGTAGTATTTCCACATCAGAAATTTTTGTTACCTCTGTCAGCTCCAGCAGACCCTGGCTAACAATTGCTGGCTCAACTGCCAGTCTTGTGGTCATAGGTTTCCAAACAGGGACAGATGAATGAAGACATGCCACTGACATTCAAATGTTAGGTGACTGATGAGACCAAAGATGAAGCAGCAGTTAACTCAGAGGGAAGCAAGACAGACACATGGTGTGACAGACAGAGTTGATGGTGACCTGCCAAGAGGAGTTAGTAAGCTGAATTCACTGCATCCATGTAGTTAAGAATGACAAACCACTAGAATATCCCAAAAGCATCACAACAAGAATATTTAGAGCTTTTCTCCCCTCTATGGATTGTTAGCAGCTTAAACAGTTTAACTACAATGCCAATTATGCATCATACACTGTTAATAAACCAAAGCTAAGCCTCTACGTAGTAGTATATAAGATTAATGTATAGAACATAGCTGGTTTATTCTCTCATAATAATGTTTATGTATTGTACTACTCTGCAAAACAAAGGAGCTGTTAAACTCAATAATTTCTAAACAATAAAAACTGTATTAATCACTAACATGGAGAACCACTTTCCCCCACTGTTTAGAGTGAATATAATTTACTTAAGTCTTGAATGCCCTTAAATTTGAAGTTATTTCAAACAGCGTCAAAGAAACAGCACTGCCTATACCAAGTTTTAGAAAAACAGTTTAGAAAATACTTCACAGTTGTTTTATAATTGCTGTTACAATGAAGGTCAGTTTTAATCAGTCCAGAAAAATAAAGAAAACAAAGTGTACATTCTCTAGTGTCTATTTAACACAGTCACCTTTTGTTGTTTGTAGAACTCCTATTTCTTGTGTTGGTGATGTCATTCTTCTAGGAAAAGGGACTTGAGTCCTCTGTGATGCATTAATATTTCAGTAATTACATTCATGCCCTACTTCTAACTTTATGTCTCCTTCTCCTCCTTAACCCTCACAAAAATCTAAGAGCTATTTGGTTTTGTTTAAGTCTTGTGGGAATGGAGGAGAGGAGTAGTAGGGTAAGAGCTAAACCAGCTTATAACAGTTAATAGTAGTATTAGACAAGCATATTAATTCATGCTAGAACATAAAATTAAAACATACTGCTGGTTGCACATTTGTTTTACTTACCAGATTTGTAATCTAATTTTCTTTCCTCTTAGCTCTACTGTTTTGATTTTAAAATCAACACCTATAAATAAAATACAGTAAACAGAAAAGGAGGAATAAGAAGCAAAAGTAATGAGGGTGTAATTATTATTTTTTGATACTTTTTTTTTTAATATATCAACTTGTAACAGTCTGAACAAGCAGAAGGGTTTGCACCACTATGGGTCAACTCAGGAACATCACAGGGATTTGACAACCACTATACAGCCTGTGAGCCATCCAATTTGGCAGCATCACAACATAAACCTTCCACTTTGTGCAAAATTTCCAGCAGCAGGTAAACCCAACACAACAGTAAAACAAAACAGGCATAGGATGTTTGTCTCTCCCTCGTTCACCCTGACTGTCAAGGACAATCGTGCTCTACTTCCAACTGGCACAGATGCCCTGGAGGCATGGAGCAAAACCAATCCCTCCACATCAGTTCTGCTGTTTGTGAAACAGGAACAATATATGTCTGGCTTCCAGAATAGATGCTTAGCATCTGTACAGTGCTGTTGTATAAGTGCTGGAACTATGGTTGGTTTATGAAGAAGTCTGTCAGCAATGTAATTCTTAACTCCTGCAAATATTTATTAGCAAACTTCTTAAAGAGGGTATTTGACTTTTAAAATTTACTTTATACCTGTATGGTGCTTTTATTGATCATCTCAAATTCCAGTCACATTCTGAATGCATGCTAAATATTAAAGATAGAACCATGAAGACTTTGTTATACAAGAAAGATTTATCTTCTATTAACAAAAAAAAAAAGCTGGCTATCAACAGATAAGACATATCATGGTCAAACAATACCTAGACACAAAAGATTACCACCTTGACTACAAGAGTATTTCAGGGAATAAATGTCCTGTTCATTTTAGTATACATTTGCATGAAGATTTTTGCTTCAGTTCTTCCTTCTAAACACCACCATCCCTTCTAACAGTGCTAAATCAAAAAGGGAGAAATAAGAAGACATGGTTCAGAACAGTACACTTAGAACTCACACAGAAGTGCAGAAGCATAGTGAGTTGGAAACACTTGGTATTTCACATACAATCGTACACTAAGAATAGGAATGAAACTGAAGAAGAAAAATTATTTTTATTTTCTTTAACAAAAACTACACATTTTCTCAGTGTCTACCCTTGGTAAAAGCTGAGTGTCCCTGCTGATATTGTTAAGAGTTGAGACTGAATTGTAACTCTGACAGAAAGGACTGAACTTGGCCCTTATGTCCATATTTTTAGTTTGCAAAGCAGGTGGACACTGTTCATCCAGATCAAACAAACGGAAGGATCACTGACCTTCATTCTCCTAAACAAAAATCCCTTCAAACAGCTTCCAGTTGCACATTACACAGTGATAAAAGTAATGGTCACCACCAGGACACTTGTCCTCCTTCTCCATGTCCTTAACAGTGTCTAGCACACTTATTCACCAATTCTTGGAGTGCTAATCAGGACATACAATGCTTGCACTTCACTTATCAACATGTATCTCATTCAAGCCCCAGGAGCTAAAGCGTTAAACTGATTTGTACTATACAGTCTAAAATTTTAATGGCAATTTTCAAGTATTCATGTGCAAATTGAGAAAAAAATATTAGAATTATTAAAATTTCAGAGCATTTATTAATCCCAACTTAAAGAAATCTTTTTCTACGCTTCTGAAAAATGACCATCTGTGACAGTGTAAAAGCAGAAGAGAAACAGTCCAGCTATGTTTTACTATGCAAAGTGTGTGAAATAGGAATTCTTGTAATTACTGCCTTTCTATTAATGAGTTTTTTAAAAGAAACATAGAACCATTTCTACTGTTATAAGATTTCCTCTATATAAATGCATTTAAACTATAAAAACATTTGTCCTAAAGGCCACAGCTTTTTCTACAACAAGAGAGTAACTTTACTTGCTAAGGAGATGATCAGGATTTAACTGAAATTGCTTGCTTCAAACTTCTCCCGTCCTCAAGGAAGTTTGAATATAACTGCCTACACATCTCAAGCCCAATTCCCAATCCTGCCATTCTGTCATACACAACACACTAAATGATTTGCCATTCATGTGGCATTTAGAAAAAAAAATTAAAAAATCTTGCTTTTCTCTACCACAGAAGCACAAATACAAAAAAAGAATCTATGATACTCATACAGGTGGGTATACTTGTCTCAGGCTGACAATTCTACTTGTAGAGGGGCTTGATGTGAGCGCTGAGAGAATACAATTCTGCTGTGTAAAGAAAAAGCCCCATAGCCCTACACAAAAAAAGTCTAAATCATCTCTGATCGCCAACTGAGTATTAAGAAACACCACAGGGATTTCATGTAAGTTCCAATAATTACAAAACCAAAATATTCTTATTTTTACAGAAGTGGTTTATACACTGCTGTCTTACACAAAGAAAGAAACAAAAAGCTTTTGTTGTACTTTTAAAAAAGCAAAATAAATAATGAACTATGGAAAGAAAATCCAACTGTTACAATAAAGTACATTTTCAACTTGGGACTTCCTGGAACTACTAGGCACAATATATGAATTAAACAAAGTAGAAAAAAGCCTATATATTAAAGAGATCGTTTCAAAATAAATGTCAATGGTATTCTTATTTCAAAGGTAGATCTATTAATTATCTTAAAGTCATACCATGAAATATTTCCCTACTGTTAAATTTTACAAGGAACAATGCACACAAGTAACAGTTTTGGAAAAGCAGATTCTTCTACAGAACTGTTTGAATCATTTAACACTCGAGTCAGACAGAGTGCCAGAACTATGCAAAGGTTGCTCGACTGCTTTTTATAATTAGTAATGCTCTGCAAGCATCAACACAAACCCAAAAGCTTTATGTCTGCCAATACTGAAGAAAAAAATCTGGCAGCTTTCCTTTTGCACACGAAGAAACAAATTCCTAAGCCTGTCAGGTTTCATTAGCATGTTCCACCATAGACTGCCAAAGCCAGTGCTTCAAGTTTACATACAGTTTAGTAATTCAATTAAAACAACAACACAATAATTTGTTTTCCACTTCAATTTCAAATATCGCATTGAGTTAAGAAAAAGTTCAATGAAAGTAATTATTTAGCTTGACTTATGTTAACGAAAATACCTAAATGAAAAGTTTTGTTATCCATACAATTACTCCAGCATGGGTTTATATATAGTTCAATGAACTAGACGAATCAACAATTACTGTCAACAACTGCATTAAATCTGAACAACTCATCTTATAAAAAGAAAGGATTTTAAAAGGCTCCCTTTAGCTGCTAACACCACCAGCAAACTATTGCTGGTTTGCATGCTACCTAGTTAGCATTTTTAAGGCCTGCTGGTTAATTTATTGTCAATGAAAACCCAAATATACACATGCCAGCGAAGCCAACTGCATGTGCTTCTGATCATACCGAAATGTGCCCTTTGCCAGTTCACACTGATTTAAGGGGAACCAAAGGGCTTACTACAATCCACCTTCCCATTAAAAAGTCAGCCTCCTCTATATATCAGGCTTGCACAGACCACAGGGCAAACAATGCATTCAGTTTATCTAAAATTGTAACACTCAGACCACGAGTAAATCTGAATCACCACCTCTCTTTTTATGAGTTAAAAGTGTGTGTGTTTTGGATAGCATATTCTGACCCTCATTTTTTGCTGGAGAGGCCTTTTTAGGAAGTTCAAATATCCTGTAAGAACGAATGAAAAAGGCATAAAAATACAAATCTCAGCCTCAAAATTTTATATAATGCACATTGGTTTTTTTAATAGCACATGAACTTTAGATGAAAAATATACTTTGTTCAAACAGGAAGGTCTATTACAACATGTGCTCAACTGAAACTATGCAGGAAAAATAAAGGGCTAGTAGAATAGAAGGGTTTTTTAAAAGTATACTAAACACACAGCCAAACAACCTGTCTGCAGTCTTTTCGAAACTAAACAGCCCTAAAAGAGAACAGACATTCAAAATAGAAATGCACTAATAAAGTTCTAGATAAGGGCAAGTCACTGAGGATGACGTATCTTGTCACTGAACCAAACTTGAGACTGTTCCAAACATGAGACTGAAATCCTATAAAATGAAGCCAAGCCCAGATCAAATTACAGGATATTAATTTCTCATTCTAAACAGAAACTAAAACTTATCTACTAAGGTACACACACAACTGGGTCTGTCCTTTCTATTTAAAGCTAAAAAAAGATTGTTTAGAAATAAATAGTAAAGAAACTTCTTCCTATGCATTTTATGTTCACTTTTTCAATTTCTTTTTTTTTTCCCCTGAGTGGTAAAAAAAGGAAGTGGAAACTGTTTTGCTTAATGCACAAAGAGTGACCTTTTGGTGCCCAAGATTTCCTGGTAACAAAGTTAATGGAGGAACTGGGAAAACAGATGCAAATAGAACACAAAAAAGCCCCTCCAACTAAAATCAATTCCAATGGACTCAATTTTCAGAGGCCTATTACTGATTTGCATCAAAGCAATTCAATCAGTGAAAAATGATCAGATCATGCTTAAAGAAACACAATCAGTTTAAAAAATTCAGAGGTTATATACTAATTAACCATTAAAACAGACATGATTTGGAGAGTATGACAGTTTATTTAATTTGGACATCTGACAGCATTATGCAAACAAATTTTCTTACTTACGCTACAGTTAACGACAAAGGTTATGTGATTTTCAAAGGAACAGCCACCTTTATTAGTCCTGCTCTGTAACTCAAACAATACAATACTTTCACCTATCCAGAAATTGCCAAAGCCAATGAGAAGATGCTCAGTAGCTTTGATACTGATCTCTATCGTCTGGCATGGTGGAAGGGGAGAAGCAAGCAACAACAAAAGGTACACAGGGAGGACAGAAAAAGGTTACACAAACTGTTCCCAGAAAAAAACCCCAGAACCGTTGTGTCTTATTTTAATTGAAGCCGTAGGACAAACACTTTTTAAAACACACTAAAGTGGAAATACCTCTTTCAAACTGCACATTATAAATTTAAAGATTGTAAAAAGAGATTTGGCAGCATCTAATGTTATGTCAGAT